AAAGAGCAGTTACGATAAACTTTCAGGCTGACTCCATTTGAAATGAGTCTTTTATCCTTTTCTAAAGACACAAAATTCAGAGAACTAAAATATTCTGAAACTCTTCCAACTTCAGTTGCTTTTCTTCACAATGGAATGCTAAATGCAAGATAGGAAGAGTTTTAACTTTTATCTTAGAAGGAAGTTTCCTAGGAAAGTGATATATGATAAATGCTGTGTATACTGTCTTAACGGGACAAATGTGCCATTTTCTTGAACAGTAAGTCTGAGAAACAGATATGATTTAGCTAAGCCAATCAGTAATAGTGTTTACACCCCACCGTCGAAATTTGAGCCTTTAAATCCATGTGTACCCAGAATTATCTGCTTTTGAAAACTTAAAAAGACGAGTCGTATCTTCTTGAGACACTGCCATATATACAAAAGACATCTATAGAAATAGGAAAAGAAATTCCAAGTCTGAGTTATTTTTGAAGAAATTAAGGAATTTTCGTACATTTATACTACTAAATTCAAGACTCAAATCAACTGTCCCTTTAATGGCACTTTCGTCAATACATCCATTGGTCAAATTTTCAGAGATTTGTTCAACTAGTTATTTGGAATAACAAATAGTCTTTGAATATATTTGCAACCTGATAATAACAATTACCATAGTGCCTCATGGATGTCACACTTTAAATTTTAACGGCAAAATTAATTCGTATGGTTTGAAACATGTTAATGGACAATGAAAGTTGTTGTATTATTTCAGGTCCTTGCCGAAAATGAAAGAAGCCGATATTTGACACAGACGAAGTGGTCTATAAAGTATTAGTAGCCATCTGGTAAAGTGTTCACTGCACGATCATACCGAATGACTGTCTTGATAATCGAGTTAGACCGGATTTAAAACCGGTGGTCTCCCTTGCTGCTTCCTTGACAACAATTTCAACAAATCCCCTCTTGTTGCCTTGGCTGCGTTTATAGACGCTTTATTTTAGCCAGGTGCATATTGGTTGACATAAAAAGCCATTTAACCTGTGTATCAGAAAGAAGTACACTGTACAGTACAAATCATCACAATATGGCAGCTGCAACACTGATGAGTCGGGAAATACCCCCACAGAAACCGACCGAAACATTTACTTCAACTGGAACAGTCGATCTAGAAAATGTCAACATCGGAAACACTGGAAATGATATGGGTATTTCAACTGTAGGATACCGTTCGTCAAAATACAACCCTGCAGAATGGCATGAAACTAATTACAGCAAATATTATCAATCATTTGTGGATAGGGATGGTTCAGAAAAGGTTAGACATGTTTCAATACAAACATCGAAAGAAGCAGAAGCCACAACTAACAAAAGACAGGCTGCTGTTACAAAAAAACTGAATGAAAGAGTTCATGACATCAACTTCTGGAAGATGGAAATTGAGAAAGAAATAAGTGACATCATCGCAGAAACAGATCTACAATTGGCACAAAAGAAACGTTTAGAAAATGCTCTGAGAGCGACAGAAATTCCTCTCCACATAGCCACTGATAATTTGAACTGTAGACAGAGAAGACAAGGTGTTGACATGGTTCAAGATGATGTAGAATTGGCTTTGTTGAAGGTAAGTCAAAAGATACAATCCACTATTGTTTTGGATTCAAACCGCAATCAAATGATAAAGAGACAATTTGTTATTATAATAATTATGATGAAATTGACAATAGTTTGTTTTGGAATTGTCATGATTAGAAATGGGTGAATATATAGCTAATATAATATGTGGACCAACTTATGGATTGGTTTACAGAAATGAGTAATTGAAGTCCTCCTTAATTTAATCAATAATTAATCTTTAAATCTGTTACATTATGAATAATTACTGAGATTGATTATAATTATAAACAATTAATCTGACTTATTCTTGTAGGAAGTAGAAATAATCAATAATGTACAAGATCTTATCAGAAGAACAATTTCCCAAGCAGAAAAACAGATAGCGTAAGTATTTGTGTTAAAAAGTTAAAAAATTCTCTAAAGCACCCAAAAAGCTTTGCATCTTACATTACAATTACAAATGTTTTATATGACCTTATGGATTTTGAAGCAAGGCTCTAAAATGAGGAATTATTCCCTGCTAATATTTGTTTTCACTTGATAAACTGAACATTGGTGTAGAATATTTTTGTATGTTTACAGGTTAAATAGAGATGCTAAACAGAATTTGGAAATGGATTGGAGTGATAAGAAAGAAGCCTTAGAGATAGATACCAGAGCTGCCGCATTAAGAAATCATCACACCAATAAACAGTTTTATCCTGGTGCAGCCAAGTTTGAGGAAATGTAAGTGAAACAAAATCATTTCTAAATGATTCTTTTAAGTCCATTGCTGTGATTGTAGTCAAATTGTGTATTGAAGCACGCATCACAATAAATCACATGACTCATCAATCCTTGAGAACTATTTCCTTTTAAACCATTATATCTGTACATATAAACAATTTATACCCTATACCTTTTGATTTGAAATACTAAAATTTTTACAAAGAAATGTTTTTGCTCCAAGGTAATCACAAAACCCAAATGTAACGATTTTTTTTTTTTCAATATTCCAGTCAATCAACTCCCGAGTCTTGGGCCCAGTTTTCCCATGATAATATTGTACGAGGTGAACATGAAAGAATGGCTTCCATACAGTTACGTACTATGATAGATAATATCTTAGAAGATACTAGTAGAGATATGAGAGAACAGTGTGATACTGTAGATTCAGCTCTACAGAAACGTGTTGTAGAGGTAGAAGATGCTAAAGTAAAGTTAGAAGAAAATCTTGGCAAGGTAAACTCTCTTCTATTTCATTATTGTGTATGCTTATAATTACTTTTGCAACCATTACAAAAATCAACAAGATACACCACTGACCCCATGGTTAATTTAGAATTTCCTTTGGATTTCCTAACCTTTGTAAGCCATTTTTCTGTGATATAAGTGTTTCTATCAATCTTGACAATTAAGACAAAGTATTTCTAACATATTTACTATTTTAACTAGGTATGTGATGAAATTGCTAGCCAAGAGAAGAATATTGAAATGCTGAAGAAATCTATCCGTGATAAAGAAGATCCAATGAAAGTTGCACAAACACGACTCCATAACCGTTCATTCCGTCCTAATGTAGAATTATGTAGAGATCCTGTGCAATACGAGTAAGTCTACAATATTTATCCCTTTCATGTTATTCATGCCATCAAACACGTTTTGCAACAACATGTCATTTCCTTTTTTGCTGAAATTGTTTACTAGAAGTTGGTAATGTGAAGAGCGACATTTTCATACAAACTCATCATCCTGTTTGAAACTGTCTTTAAAAACCATGCAATAAATATACATGTTGACAATATACCATTTAGAATCCATAAATATTTTTGAGAAATGCTGCCCTGATATTTCTGATTTTTAGGCTAATGTTTTAAATTTTTTTTAATTTTAGATTGGTTGGCGAGGTTAATGAAATAGCACAATCTATTGATGCCCTACATTCCAAATTAAATGCTGCTGAAAATACTTTGAAAGATTTACAAGATAATCGTATGGGATTGGAGAAGGAAATATCCAACAAGAAAAATAGTTTGTTTATTGATAGAGAGAAGTGTATGACCCATCGTACACGATACCCTACTACTCTTAGATTACAAGGATATCAGTGAACTACTTTTTATAACCGAATTACAAACTTCATAAACTATCATTGATGAGTCACTTCCTCTACCATTCTTTACAAATTCCGATTTTCAGTGTGGCTGAAATTGTACATTTCTATTTTCAAGCTTAAACATTCAATTATTTGGCTTATTCTGTGATAATGAATTTGTACATTTCTATTTTAAAATTTAAACATTCATTAATTATGCTAATTCTGTGATAATGCTTTTATTAATCTATTGAAGAGATTGAATTTATTATGTACAATACCTGCTTTAGATATTTGTTGATTTTATAATGTAAATAATGTGTTATTTCTAGTATTTATGCTATTATCAATTAGTAAAATAATCTCAACTGTATCGGTTTTTTATAATATTCCTCATGGTTGTCAAATTTATCGGGGTACTCATATTGAAATATTTCAATATACACAAGAGCATTTTCATTTTTGGGTGAGAGTAATTGATTCTTATAGAATGATGCACGTTATGTTCACTACTCAAAGTATAGTATTCATCTGAATAAGGATAAGGCTGCTGGTGCATTTTGTGGATATTATTTCATCACGTTGGATTTTCCCTTTGATTTTTAAACGGTTTGACTTCCCTCCTCCAGTTTCTTCTCTCCATATTCAGTAAAACATCAATAAGCAGACGGTGCAGAACATTTAGAGTACCAATTTAATCTTTTTTACTTTAATTGATAATTAATGAAATAAAGTATGTTCTCTTCTTATGACCTAGGCTTCTATAGGAGTATAAAACTTAACACCAATTTGGGCTATCTGAAGAGAAGTCCATTTAGCATTCTCAATTGGGTGCATAAAAATAATTTCTTTAAGAGTCTGTAGTTATGTAGCTTTCATCTGACCAAACAAATATGTTTTTTTACAAATATAATTATCATGAACCAGATGGAAAAATAAGTGGAGACATGAAAATATGGTGTGTCCATCTCCATCATAATACAAGGTAACTGTTTTTACTATTCAAAGGTCTAAAAGAATTTCTATTTGAGGAGTTTAGAAAATACAGAAACCTTAAGACGATTTCAACGTTCAATAACTAATATTGTAAAAAAAATAAATTGTTCAGTCCAACTATAAAGTTATATTTCTTAGTATCTATAATCTGGATTTCATCTTAATAGTTATTCTTTCAAGAAACTGGCCCAAGTCCTGCTGCTGTGTAAATATAGAATAAGATGGCATCAACTTACTCAGACAAAATCATAACTTGTGTTACGATGAATAATAAATAATCAATTCAAATTTATTATTGAGTTTTCATTTATTAAAATATCATGAGCACTTGACATACAAAACATATACAGTTAGGAGACTTACAAGATCTCCACATTAATAAAAACATTCAACCTTCTTTATGATTATCTTCCACGATTTGATTGTAATCATAATTATCTAGTTAATCATAATTTCTCTAGAAAAATAATGAGATGACATAACAAATAAGACCAATATGAACTAAACAAAAAGAAAGTCCAAATCAATGTTAAAATCTGCGCATAGTAGCTGCGGCAATTCCAAATCTGCTATCTTGTGGCCGACTCAAATTCTGACCCATCATATTCATGTTACTGCCGGCAGCATTACTCAAATACACATTATTTCCCATGGTACCCATTACACTTACTCCCATATTGTTATATCCTGTACGATGTTGATGAGGCTCAGCTCCCATCCATCTATCATTACGACCAAGTGGTGTTGGCTCTATAGGATGTGCTACCTTACGATCCATTCCACTTCCCCATGCTGGTCTCTGACTTGATACATCTAATAAAGACGAATAATTGTTTCATATTACACAAAATAAACAAAGGTTGTAACTGTAATTTTTGGAACAAATTTGCCAGTGAGCAACTTGATTGGAATGTTGTTCTATTAGCTATGGAAAGGAAAGCTAGTTTCCGTACAAAGCCTGCCGCAGGCGAGGGGAACTAGCTAAGCCACCTGCCTCAAGAGACCCACAGCTGAGCAACATTCTCAATACTTCTTTCACTGCAGACGAGAGCACTCATCTGAGCTATTATCTCACTAGAAAATCTTTGACCAATTCCATAAGTCAACGAAAAACAACCAAATAACATTTGGACTGCATCTGTCTCACGCAACTTATCAAAATGATCTTTCACCGTAACCATAATGATACCACATGCTCCGTCAACGCATTTCTATTGGTTACTTTTTCTAGCTCATCTGGCAGCTTAGACGCCATCCCAGCACAAGGTGAATTTCTAGCCTCTTGAGGCAGAAAATATCAAACAAGATAGATATTTTCCTCACAGCCACTCGAGGCAAAAATTTCTCTGCTAGTTCTTCTTGTCTGCAGCAGGCTTTAAACAACAAAAATATTAAATATACTATTGATATGTACCTGCATAACTTCCGGTAGTTGGTCTAGCTGAATTAGATTGCCAACTATCTCGACTATTAGTTACTGCAACTCTTGTATCATTAGTATCTGCAATAACAACATATCAAAAAAATTGGGCTGTCTCCTATAGCACTGGGTTGAAAGCGCTTAACAGTTTAATACATTTCATAACCCTCATTAATTTTATTTTGGCTTGCAGCTTGCTGCTTCTACTTCAATAGATAGATGTCAGTTTTCCCTTGATCCCTTTTTTCTTTATACAAGATACAAAGAATCTGTTTAATCACTGGATGAAGTTTTTCAGATAATGTTGATATTGAACTGGGCATTACCTCGTCCATGTGTTCCACCATGTGCACCGTGTGAAGTATGAGAACTATGTGATGCTGTTTGACGTGAAGCTGAAGGTCGGTCTGATTTCCAATCAGATCTACTAGTAGTATGACTACTAGTATGACTAGCTGTCCTGTCATTGTTTCTATCATTACCACGACTAGCCCCATGACTACTGTGTCCACCACCACTACTAGTAGTACGATCTCTATCTCTATTACTGGATCTAGAATCAGTTCTATCATTTCTACCAACATTTCTATCACTCTTACTATCATTACCATAACGGTGACTGCTATTTCTGTCATAATAAACAAATTGATCATGAAAAGAAACAATTCATTCATTTGAATAATAACTTTCTTCAAAATGGCTTTACTGAAACAATACATTTTCTACATCAATATGCTACCTGGACTCCATATCATACAATATGGTATAAACATTACCTTTATATCTATATATATCTCAATATAAAGAGTCCAAGAGCCTTTTAAATTAAAAATAAAAACTATAACATAAAGGGAGGGGGGTGGAGTTGGAATATATATTAAATAAAGAATATAAGAGCAGTTTTTGTATGGGAATGATCATTGGCTTCCATCTTTACCAATTGGTGAATGTACTAGTTGTACAGTATTTTACTGCAATACCAATATACCACAGAATTGTAGAGTTTATTATCATCAGTAACTCACGCTGAATATCTATCATCACGTCGATTATCTCTATTATCTCTTGTATCACGTGAACTAGCACGTCTAGTATCACTTCTATCACGTCGATCACTTGTAGCATCAGATGTTCTTCTATCATATCGATCTACTTTTCTGTCATTGGCTCCGGCACTAGCTGTACGATCATGATACCTACTAGAACCTCCATCTCGTCTGAAATATAATATTTTTTCACCGTTCACCCAGCTGTTCAGAAATACCGCAAGGTCGTTGCATAATTCCATTCCTCAACAAATTAATGGATTGCAAACAAATAATAAGATTGATTCAAATGTGAAAGGAGTTTGGGACAAATTAAAATTGTTAAAAATCCATTAAAACAACCCCAACCTGAAACTATAACCATATTTTTACCCTTCAAAATTCTACACTAACCTATCATAAGAATCATATCTGGAATCTAAAGTGGCTCTTTTACTACCAGAATTATAATCATCATCTCTACCACCACGACTATCATATGGTCTCTTTAATGCCCTCCTTTCCATCTCTAATCTGTAAATAAATGCAATTATAACTAAAATAGAAGGGTGGGGGAGAATTGTCCACAGGAAAAAAGCAAAAAATAATTTCCATATAATCTGCAGAGATAACGCTCAGGATATTTGACATGCTGATAAACTTCTAAACAGAATAACTTTACTCTTATCTTAACCACTAATAACATGGCAAGAACAATCTAATTATCATCATTACAGGATAAAAAAGAAATAATGTACCTTAATCGTTCTTGTCGCAGCATTTCTTCCTTTTCTCTTTCAAATTTCTCTCTTTCCAACTTTAATCTTTCTATTTCTAATTTTTCTCTTTCTATCCTCTCTCTTTCAAGTCTGAAACACAAATTTTAGTCAAACTGAAGTTCTATTAAAACATTTGAATAATTATGTGAAAATTTGCCCAATTTCTTGATGTATTTTTTATTAAGTTTAGACAGAATTTATCAATACCACCGATATGTCAATATATACATCCAAAGTTCACTATGATTAGTTTTTATTGCCAACTTGCTACCATTTGTATGCAAATATAAATATATACAAATCAAAAGTACAACAGAAGTACTAGAGTAAAATAATCTTACTTTATTTTATCCTGTTCTCTTTTTAATCTCATCGCCTCTTCTCTCTGACGTATATGAACTTCTTTCTGTCGACTCTGTTGTCTTTCTAAAGCTCTCTGTCTTCTTCTTTCCTCTTCTCTCATTTGTCTTTCTTTCTGAATCAATCTTTCTCTCTCACGTTCAGCCTAGAAGAGTATAGACATCAAAATGAGATGGAGCATTTTGTCCCACTGTTAAGTTTTGTTCATGATTGAGCCTAGGATCATAGACAACACCATATATTGTACAATGAGGAGAATGTGAAAGGACAGCTGTATCAGTCTAATTTTTTTCACTTTCCATCTGTCAAGAGACTTTTTTTATGCTAAGTTTGCAGCACATGTGGTCTCCATTAATTGTCTCACTTGACACATTTTCCATGTCAGCCCTTTCTATTTGCATCATTGAAATCCTGAGGTACAATAATATATTTATCGTTCGGATAGATAGTTCAGTAATGGGGGATGTATTAATCAGACTAAAAAATAAATAATCAAGTCAATAAAATACTTACACGAATCTGTTCAAATGACAGAATATCTCTTCTAGGACTTGATCTACCTTTAGATCTATCTCGTGATCTTGCACTATGATCTGATTTTCTATCTCTTCTATCTTTATCATCTTTCTTTTCATCTTTTTTCTCTTCTAAAATAACAAAAAGTTCCTATGCAGACAAAACTGTGAAAAGGGGGAATCCTGTTCCTAAAGTTTACAAGTCTATGTTATGTACATTGGTGCACTGTTGAGAAGCTCTTTCAATAAAATGTGTTACAGTTTTCATGAAAGTAGCACTGGGAAGATTAAGATTGGGGATATGTTTAAGTCTCATCATAAAATTAGGTTCATCCTTACTGGGTTTTTCATCTTTCTTGGTTTCGTCAGGCTTCTTATCCTTAGATTCAGGTTTAGTTGGTATTTTCTTTTCATCTTTCTTCTCAACTGGTTTCTTCTCATCTTTTTTATCATCTGGTTTCTTTTCATCTTTTCTTCTATCATCTTTCTTATCATCCTTTTTTTCTGTAAGAAGAAAAGTCAATAATGTTAAAATGTAATTCTCTTTAACTGTATATTTCCAGGTACTATAATTCATTGTTGATAGGATTACTGCAGTTATGCTACATAGTAATGAGTTGAATTACCATCTTTTCTTCCAGTAGAAGATCTTCTATCATCTGATGATTTGTGAGAAGCTGAGGATCTGTTGGCTGTTCCTGGTTCATTCTTTGCCTATATAAATACAGAGTAAATAAATAGATTGTAAATACCTAACATTACTTTATCTCAAATCAGATCAATTCTCAACTCCAATTAAAATAGAACCATTTTACTTATTTTCAATTGACATCAATTCACTTTAGAATGTTTTACTTGATCTCATTTAAGAGACATTTACTCCACTGTGACCAAGATCATTCCATGAAGATCATTCCAGTGAAGATCAATTCACTAAACTGAGACAGATCACTTTATTATCTTTCAACAGATATTTCCCTCAAACCTATATCATTTCATTGTAATCAAGTTTTATAAAACAACCCTACCCTTTCAACAGAGATCATCCTACTGTGAAGTTCAGTGCGATGAAGATGTGTGATACATTTAGAAGCCTCTTCAGCTGTGGACATGGTAACAAAGCCATAGCATCTAGATCCTGGCCTTCTTGCATTAGTAACAACTTTAGCACCAACCACCTACAACAAATAAATCATACTTTCTTAGACCATTTTCTTAATCAATATTCTGACTATAGCCCCATCTCATCTCTAAGGATTACTTAGCAAGAACTTATGCAAAAGAACTGTTGTCACATCACAACATATCAAGACTACATCTCGCTTTTTTTTTTTTCAATCTCTTTATTCCAAAAAAACATGATTTTTTGATTGATTGATTGATTGTATTGTTTTGATGGTAAATATCTTACCTTGCCATATTTGCTGAACAATTGTTTAAGTGCTGTAGCTCTAGATATTGGTGATAAACCACTCACCCACAAATTACGACCAGAACCACCTGTAATTCATTAATAAATTAAATTAGATAAATTAATTAGAATAACAACCAACATCATTGTAAGCATCATACAATACATCTTTCTCCTTTACCTGATTTTTTTCATTTTAAAAATACTCTATATATGATGGGAATGGAGGTCAATTTTCTGTGCATTGACCATTAGAATCTCCATAAATAATGAATTCACAGTAAATAATAAAGTATTCCCTTTATCGCTACAGTAAACATATGGTAGACAACTCTTTAGTTTAAATTGTTTAGTTGAGTTAAGTGTTTAAATGGCATTAAGTAATTTTGAGTATGATATATAGACATAGCAGTATGGAACAACAATCATTGGTTAAATTTTTATGCAAGATTTCGACATAAAACCAATGATTGTTGTTCCATAAAGCTGTGTTTATATAGTAGAGTTGGTTTGATCATCAAACAGTGTAAATTGAATTTGTACATTCAATCTAGGAAGACATCTTAGCCTTTACTGATCTATAACACGTACTTTAATTATACACAAACTAGCACCTACCTTTGTTATCTTTTGATTTAGAATCTCTAGAACTTTGAGAACTGTAAGATAAGAAAGAATAGGAGAATTATTAAGGATATATAGATTTAGATTGAAAGTGTTAATAAATTTACTATATTAAACTACTGTGTATATCAAAAAGAAGTAAAGAGTTGTAAATAAAAAGCAAAAGTTGAAAGGTTATATCACAGAAACATTGATGAATATCGCTCATTCTCTTTCATATACGGCTCGTTTCGATAAATATGTACCGTTGAAGTTTCCCAAAAGCAAATCAACCAAACTTGTTTTCTATTCGCAAAATATTTCTTCTGCTCTCCAATTTACACGAATTTCAAGAATCAGTTTCAGGGGCAAATCGTTTCAATTTCAGCATAATGTATTGTTCATCTGTGAATAGTTATGTGAAGTGAGTGCCATTATACCGTTAGGGGTGTAGCATTGTATGGTCCCGTATGGTTAACTCTCTTCAGCAATCGTTAGCTTTTTTTGGTGTATGCGAAAGACCTCATACAAACCCAAACCAACCTCTTGGAAGTTGTTTTGCTATCCTTAGTTGAATCCTTCTTTTCTTCACCTTTCTTTTCATCCTTCTTGTCAGTTTTATCATCAGTTGACTTTTTATCAGATTTGTCTGTATCATCAGTCTTCTCACCACTTTGTTCAGTCAAAGTTGTTTCTGCACCTTCTGTCTCACCATTCACCTCGTCTGTCTTAGCACTCACCTTAGCATCACCCTGCGAGTTCAGCAAATCAGCATCAATTTCACTCATCTGAGTGTCATCAACTCGCAAATCAAATGAGTCATCATTCATTTCTAGAATGGCTACCTTAGCTCCAGCTGCTGGTGATTTAACAACTCCATTTCCAGTCTTGGTACCAGGTACTGGTTTGTTGGAAGCATCAGTCTTTGCTGTAGCTGCAGCTTTTACAACAGGTGTCTTGTTTGCTGCAGTTTTACCTGGGGTTGTCTTAGTCACGGCTGCTTTTGGTGGATTAGTGGTAACTTTTGAGGCTGCATCTGTGCTTTCTTCGGTTTTGACAGCTTCTACTGCAGCTAGTTTGGTTTCCTTTTCATCTGATTGTTTGACCTCACCAGCTTTATCGTCTTCAGTCTTCACAGAAGATTCCTCAGTTTCCATTTTCACAGGCTCAGCATCCACTTTGGGTGCTAAAGAAATTCAGTGGAAAAGATGGTTAGGATCTTATCATAGCATAATCAATTTGAATATCATTAAGAAACTTACCAGCACACAGTATTAATTCATACAACCTAAAAATAAATCCGTTCATTGTCGATCTTCATCTGGCACAGAAACACATACCACAAAATCCATTTCATATTTACAGGAGTTTCTCAAAATGTTCGCATCAATTTTCAAAATTACTAATAAATTCACTATGTAATATTTCATTTGGCGAGTATTCTTCCGCCACATATTATCAATTCTTCAAATAAGATGATTGTCCTCAAAATAATTTCAATCCACATGTACAAGTCTTTGATATGTATCTGGAACCATTTTTAGAATTAAATACAATTTCAATACAAAAAGAATCCATTTACAGAATAAACAAATTTGCTGCTATTTGAATAATAAGGATTTCATGTTGGAAGATATATGGTTTCAGGTACCAGGCTATCTGGTTAATATCTTTAAGTTCGTTTGATCACATGGCTATCTGGCTATCATCTTGATGTTCATCAGTATACCACTTTACAGTTCACTTCTCAACTTTCTGGTAATTGTCTTGTCTTTTTGCATCTTCTGTCATCTTCTTCCAGTGTGCTTTCTGATACTAAACTTTTAGCTCTCATCAACCCCACTATTAATTCTGCTGGGTATAATCACCCCTTGTATGCGCAGTAAAAATGCATGAGCCAACAAAATAAAACCCACTCCAACCCAAATAAATATAAACCAGTAATTTAACTTATATTTTCTTGTTTATAATTTGTAGAATATTCACCTTCAGATCCAGTAGAATTGGTTTCCATTTTCTCCTCTTTTACAATGGCTGTTTTATCCTAAAATAAATTTTAGATCAAGAATAACAAGTTAAAATAGAGAAAAAGAAAGATATAGTCTAAGGGTAGAAATAGACAAAGTACAGTGCATGGCAGATTTATAATACATTTAAAAAATAGAAGCGAATATCTTAGCTCAATTCAAAGTACAGACAAGAATTTTTAACCAAAGTGTATTCAGACAATGCTTTGTCATGTTAAAACTATATATTATCATTTTACTGTTACTTACCTTAATTTCTTCTTTCTTTTCATCTTTAACCTGAAATAAAATAATTTTCTCTAAAATTTTTGCTAAGACTAAGCTTTTATTGACAATATTGTCTTTGTTATAAGCAAGTACATCTAAGAACAATTGGTATAATAGATTATTTATCACAGTATCTTTTTCTCTGCAAAAATCAATCCAGTACAACTTTTGTTATCTTAGCTTACATTCTAAACAAACTGATGTTTATTTCAGACAAATATTTCAAATGAGAAGGCTACCATCTGAGAATTACTGATTCTAATATAATAATTGTGATTGAAAAGAGCTCATTAAAAGTATTTGTGTTTCTTTCACTCTATAATGAAATAGGAATGTTACAAGAATAAATTATGATAGTTCAATAGTTAAAAAGAAAACATAGAAAAAAGGGCAACTAAAAATACTATGATTGACATGCATCCTATAACATCTACAAAATATATCACATATTGTGTAATTGCCTTTTGGAATATCTTACACTCAGTTTGTTACCTTAGCGTTCTATTCTGAGAGTCCACATAGACATAATGTACAGGTAAGTGGCAAACTTAATTTCAAGTTTCAATATACACTTTGAAACTATTTAATTTGTTTGCTATATTGCTCTTTCTCTTTTTTTTTTTTAAGGACAATTACCGTTAATTCTGTTTTGACACTTTCAATTTTAACAACTGTTCCCCCATTCTCTTTTTCTTTTGTTTCCATTTCTTTTTCATTTGTTATTTCCATTTCCTTTTTACTTTCAGTTTCCACCTTTACTGGAGCCTCAGTTTCAACTTCTTCTTTAACTGGTTGACTGCCTGGGGTAGGAGTGGGCTGAAAGTGCACATCATACAACACTAAGATCTAAAGCTAATATCAAAACAAGCCATGCAACTAGTGTCAGAAGGCAGTAATAGTTTTACTGTATTGAACATAACAGATTTCTTACTAACCTCTTCTGTAGCAGGATCTTCATTTGTCTCTGCACTTTCATTTTCTGTAGTCTATCAAAATAGAAGCATATTATAATTAAATCTAGCTCAAAGGACTTGGGTCTGAGGTCTGGGTATAATATAAATGTTGCATTAATTGGACTTTTGATTTATATTATAAAATTGTTATATCACACAAAAAATGAGCAACAATATACAGAGTGCAATGAAGGTAATTTTATCAAAACTCCTGATATGGTATTGTGAATGTTCACAGTCTATCACACATGAATGTTTGGTTCAATTTCTTGTCCAAACCACAAGACATTTTCCCTCGAACTTATTGATATATCTTAATGTGTCAAAAATTACCTTTTCTGCCAATACATCTTCAGAATTTTCATTAGTTGTATCACCAACCTCCATTTCTTCCTCTATATCATCATCCTCCTAGTAAATAAACAAGGTCACTGTTAATAGATTAACCATGACACAGCTGATAATACAATAGAAACATATGGTGTCAAATTTTATGATCAATACCAATATTAAGACTTCTAAACTTTATATTTATTGAACAAATATTGACTATTCATCAACTAAGCTTACACACATCAAGTCTAATCTAAGATCAATGATCAACACCTCAATATTCTACGCCATAAAATTGTGCTTGGATTTTAATGCCAACAAAATTAAGGATCATATTTACTTCTCAAAATGATTAATAACAAGTAGGATAAATCATTTTAACCAAATAAGACAGTACTTTTCCAGATGCAATTATTAAAATATAGCCTTATTCATATCTACTATGAAACTGATGACATACGACCGATTATCACTCTGTTAATATATGAACTGGTTTTACATAGAGATACTAATTTATTCATTTTTTAATTTATAATAACTTTAATCATAATTTTGTATTAATATGCTAATAATATCATCAAACAATTCAGGTCACAGTAACTAGATTGGCTATTGATTGATAAAATTTCTGTTCTACACAATAGTGTCACAGCCAAAGGTTGCAATTTTCCATAATGGCCTTTTAATATTTATATATATGCATATTAGTACAGGGTTTAACATTGCTCTATCCCTAGAGGTTATGCCTACATGCCTGTGCTTTCGTAACATTGCTTAACCGCATTGTTACAACTAAAATTCCCAAACACAACCTTCAATTAATACCATTTGGTTCAGTAATAACTTTTTATTTATCAGAATATCTATTTACTCACCTCATCATTGGCTTTTTCAGATGTGGTGTCACCTAAAAACAAATATCAAATTCATAGATATAAGCTTAGATATTTCAATGTTAATATCTACCATTCTACAGTGAAATGGATATTCCAAGATATTAAGTAATTAATTTCATATTCATTTATACAACTTATTCTGTTACAAGTCTTGGGCATGGTAAGCTTAATTTGTCTGTTTCCTTTTTGAGATTTGAATAATTGGAATTAGCATTTTAACATACCATTATTTGTGTAGTAGTTAATAGGCAATACTTTGTAGTAAATTATCAGTCCATCAGATTAAGGAACTTTTGATAAAGCCCAGTGCGTAACTTGTCCAATCATGAATTGAAAACTCAAAGCAATTTCTTAGTAAAAGATTAGTATGCAACTACTCCTTGTCAAATGCAAACTTAACTTTTTCTTTATTTAATCTTACCAGAATCAGGTCGTCTTGGCGATTTTTTGGTTGTCGGTTTCTTGGGTGTGCTTTCAGAAACTTCTATCAAAAATTCATTAGGGTCTTCACCAGCCTCTTCAATGGCCTTCAAACAAAAGAATATTGTATTCAATTAAAGTTGTTGGAACATCTTCCATGAAATCTAATTTTTCCTATTTTGCCATACCTGCCCTGAGCAGTGCAAGTTTGTGCAACGTTTTTACAAATTCCAGGTATGGCTCTTTCAATGCCAATAATTTATAGCAAAACCCAACAAAATATTTTGCTAACTGGAACTGACTGCAGCACAGCCAGTGCAAGAAGTAGAGATTAATAAAAGCTTGTAACTGACCTAGTCCTGGCATAGTCAGACAGAGCCATAGCAAAGGGTCCACTCTAGATCATTATCACTAGTAGACCGAAGCATCTGTCTCTATTCCAGCCTCTGATAGCTATTTGGACAGATGTCAGCTGGTGGAGAGACAGAAATAATACGCCCTGTTGAATGGGGACATTCCCATGACTGCAGGTTTTAAACCTATTTAGATACCTCAGATCTGCAAAACGCAGATATAATGCCATCATTTTCTCCCTACATCATTTAATGTCATGTCTTTGGTTCCATCAAAGCTTTTCTATTGTGGAAACTGCGCAGATCAGAGTCACATGATACTAACAAAACAAAAGTAACGGTGATGCCCAAGACTAATTTACAATCATCTTAATGCTAATTCAATATTATGAGAGAAAAAACTCATTTTTCGAGGTGTGGAAAATACCCATTTAAACTTTTAAAAACCCATTTTAGGTCTTTTTCTTCTGACTCTACTCCAGCTGACAACTGTCAAAATATCCATCAGAGGCAGATGTTTCGGACTACATCACTAACGGCACACTACTACTAACTAGCCCAGTACTGTGACTAGGCTTATCACAATCTTTTCATATCAAACCAACAAATCCTAGTCCTAGCCTAGATGAGATCTAAGATGGTTGATTGACTTGAAGACAATAGCTGTAATGTTTGGCACTATTGATTCAAGTGCAGCAGTTTTGCACATCGTAAATGAAAATGACATTATTTTTTTCAATTTCCAGTGTGGCCCGTAGGATGAATGACAGAATGGCTTGATTTGAAACAGTGTAGTATAGACTGTATGTACTGTGTGAAAATCGGATTCTTTCAGAAGAACAGAAGGCGGATCTAACATGATTATGCGTAGGATAGGGTATGAATGATAAGAAGAGCTGATACCTTTTGTAAACGTTCATATAGCACAGCCTTAACACCAGTTTTATCTAAACCTCTTTTATCTAATTCGGCACGGAGATCTATTACTCTTAATTCGGCTAATTTCTTTTTCTCGGTTATAGACGCCATCTTAGTTTTCTTTAGAATAAAATAATTTTATCACGAGGCTTTGTTGTCTCGATTATCACGCCATATTAAATTGGATTAAATATAGAAAAAGTCGTGACAATCAAGTATTAATGTAAATCTATCCCACAATTCAAGTTTTGCAAGGATCCCTTAATTTCGACTGTGTTGTCTCTCTATGATCTTATAGATGGCAGTCTAATCACATTGTTATGTTCTTTATTGTGATTTGAGACAACCTTATATTATTCAAAAAATATTTCTACATGCTCTCGTGAAACAGATCTGAGAGACACGGGTCAACTCGGAACAAAAGCGAGATCGTCCGCCACGATATGATAGTGACGTCATCGGATTTCCTTGAGGATTCCCATGATGGTTGTGACGGGTGATCAACACAATTAGTTGGGTTTAGAGTGCTGTAATTTTATTTGTTATATTATACAAATTTTTACAATGTCCTACCATATGCTCAACTTTAACAGTGACCTTTTGCCTAATTCCAAATCCCACTTCTATGTCTCTTTGACTTTGTTGTGTTTGTTATGCTGTGCACTGCAAATCCAAAATGAACTTTTGATTTCTAGATATTTGAATTTACTCCACTCCAGTTCTGTCTGAACTATAGAGTTGAATCATCGTGTATGGATAGATAGATAGAAATGAAATTTTACATTTGAAATTTAAGAAATTTGCTCCAAAATAGTTTTTTTTTCCGCAATTTAACAAGTTTTGGGATACCAAAAAAGACAATCTAAAAACGGCAGCTGAAAAGTTTCTTTACCACAATCTCTATTTCATGTCATTTGATTTTGTTGTAAGATAGATTCAGCATGTCCAGTAGTGATGTTACAGATATTGAAGACTTGTTATGTTATTTAGATAAATGTATTGAAGATAAACGCCAGTCTTTAGATAAATTATGTCATTCTAAAGAACTACTTTTTAAACCATGGTAAGTGATAATTGTTGGATGTCAAAAAAATGAAATAGTTACACCAGTACATGTGAGATACCAGATATAATGATCAAAGGTTCAACAGAACTCAAATGAAGCAAAATCTTACATTGAATTCTAATCTGATATAAATGCACATTTTTTTTTTCATGTCAAGTTACTACACTCCCAATCCATGCTCTGACGCAAATAGTTTTCAGTGGGATTTTATATATAGCATAAAAGGTTGCTCAGAAATTGTGCTATAAAACTTATTCATTATGATTGGTTGATAATATTTTTATGATCATGAAAAATGTTTGGCAATCCTATTCCTACGTGTAAAATTTTCAAAGGTATCTTTTAGAATGAAAAATATATTTCCTGTTGGTTTACATATATAAATTTATGAATGAATGTCAGAAATAAGTAATAAATTAAGTTATTTTGAGCTGAGCTAGTATTTATAGATTATGTAGGCAAAAGATGTGTTTTTTTAAAACCATAAATGATAACAAATTTATTGTTATGTTATTGTTATAACATTCTAGGCCAAAGCCAGAAGAAAAAGAAGTGAAAACAGTTCCACCAGTAGTAAAAGAAGAAATTTATACACCGGAAGAAAAAGATGGATTAAATTTGATCAATGATTTGTTGAAAAAAGCACAGAAAGCTATTATACTCCAGGAGAAAGTGAGTTAGTTTGCATTCTTGTTATTACATATTCTAATTTTGAAATGTAAAACCCCATTTCCATTAAAATATTCTTTAAGTGTGTGTTTTGGAATTTTGATCGATGAGCCTGTGTAAGGCTATAACCAACTGTAATATACATTAAACACAAATTTTTGTAGTTGAAGAAAAAGAATGAAGCTGCAGAAGAAATGGGCATCACAAACAAAAGTGATAAAGTGATACAGGACATTTCAAATGCAAGTCCTCAAGATAACCAAGGTCAGCAGATAGTGTCAGATGAAAGTAGAAGTGAAGAGAAGATCAATTCAAACCGGGAAGCATGTGCTGTTGACAAAGCCTCTGAAAGAACACCCAGTGTGAATGAAAAGTCTTTGAAAGATTTAAAAAATCATACAAATGCTACACAAATTAAGAATTGTAGTCAAACTGCTAAAAAACCTACTTGTGCTACAAAATCTCAGTCATCAGTTCGAAATGCTGACTCCAAAACTCACGCTTCTTCTAAACCTGCAATAAAAATCTCCTCCACATCAACAGAAAGTCGTCCAACTTCTAGAAATTCCACCAGTAGTACATTTAGTCGATTTAGCAACAAACAGAAGAAAATTCCAGTTCACATGACAGCACCATTTAAAACTGATCCAACGATTAAAGTACCCAAACGACCATCTAGTTCCAAACAATTTATAAAGCCTGAAAAAGTTGTAAAATCCAAGTATATGAATTCTGTAAAACAACTGTCCAGTGCAAAAACCTCAGCTGTTCCCAAATCACACACCATTTCCAGTAAATCAAAGAGTAAACCCAGCAATGAAATTGTCTCCTCAACTCAGCAATATAATAATAAAAACTCAAGTAATGGGATGCATGACATTCAACCAGCCAGCACAGACCATACTTCCTCCATGGAAAATATACCAATTGTGAACATTGGTGTAGAGTCAAACTCAGTCATTGATATTGATAATCTTGCAGCAGAAGTTGAGAAACTGGTGGTAGATGAGATTGAAGACATTCCCAATGAAGAAAAATTAGACGTTCCAAAAGCTTTCAATCTTTTGCAAGATGGGTAAATATTTTTATCTTCTATCTCAGTCTTTTCTAAACATATTGTGCTAGTATTTTTTGATATTATTGATATAAGTGCCATGAAAAGTGGTCTTGATTTTAATGTATAAGCTTGGTTTGTATCTAAGATATACCAATTTTGATATTGCTAAGAATGCTAAGGTTGCACTAAAGTGAAAAGTGATTTGAAGACATTCAAAATCAGTAACCAGCTTACATTATCTGTGTATGATTTCACTTGAAGAAGGAAAAGGAATAAATATTTTTGTTTGTTTTCAAGATCATCACTACAAATACCAGGAAAGTTAAAGAAATTACTCATTAAAAACAGAGAACTGCGTCAAACTGTTTTAAAAGAGGCTGTCACTAAAAAAGTTGGCAACGATAGTAGAGATAACTTTTTATATAAAATAGAATCCATGGTAAGTAAGTTATATTTATTTGTGGTTCAAGTTATTTAATTTAGTTGAACTAAGTCATTGGCAGAATACCTTTGGTAAGAGGTGTTAATAAACATGCTTTGATTTTTCGTTTCTAAATTACAAATCTGATTAAAAGGATGAAATATTATGGTTCTAGCATCAATAAAGAATCACTCTTTGATGTTATCTTTGTTTTTTACAGTTTGATAAAGGTAATGATTTAAACATCCAGTATAGAAAGTTACAATGTTTAAATGCACACGCAAAGTTATTGCAACTTCTACAAGATGTCCAATTGGAAACAGTTAACGGTATTTGTATAAAAAAAATTATATTTGAATGTGTATATATTTATTGTTCAATTGTATTAATTTCTATACTTTTTTGTTCAGTTGAATCACGAGTCGCGATTGAAAAAGCAAACAACCTTGCTTAAACTCAGTTAAAACATGGCTTGAAACTTTTACAAACTAAACATGTCAATAACTTCAATGGATGCAGAAGTCAAATCATAAAGCTGTCTGCTAATTGGTTTGATAAATCTTTCTTGTCTAAATACATGTACATGTTACATTGTTCTGTATGCTATACCTAAATCTGAATAACAAAATTCATATTTGATATTTAGCAGTTAGTAGTCAGTAGATCTGACAGGTCAGCATTTGATCACTACCAAACGAAAACACAATCATGTAAGCTTGATTTATAACATTGTAATTACAGAATTATCCACCCCCTTTGATGTTTTAAACTCTAAAATGATGGTGGAATTCATTTTGACTACTTATCATGAATTAGAAGAAGAAACAAAACAGATATTAAAAGGTATTATTGGCTCATCAGCCTGTATTTAATTGATTCAGCCAAATCCAGAGTCAGGATCCAATAGCGTTTTCAATACATTGATATTTTGGGCACTTGGAAATGGACGCCTGTCTTTATTGCAAGTATGTGATCCAACATGAAATAAAATTTATTTTAGATCTACATATCAATCATAATGCCTAAGTTAATTCAATTCAGCTTTAAAGGGGCATTCCACTTTTTTTGTAAAATTTTCATAATCAAAAACATCTAAAGTATGCTCTTTATATCTATATATCAAACTGAATTTGTTTTAAAAGTTAATTAAAACTGAAAGTACTAATTGTTAATTAAGTAGTTTGAACTAGTTTCAGTGATTGGGCTCGTTATATGTAGTTGAAACCTTTAGAAAACGTAGGAGACATATTTCTCTACAATTATGTGTTCATGTTACTCAAATGCGTACTGTAGTTTACATTAAAACCTTTTTACACATAGTTTTGGCATTTAAAAATTAATGACTGGGATAACTTTGAGCAAAACAATTCTCGATCTACAAAACAAGTGGAATGCCCTTTTAATGATGTTTTGCAGTTTTATTAACCTATTATTTCAGGTGGTAAGAAGATAGTTTCTAGTCACCAACATATTGTAGTCAAACCTAGTACCTCATTATTATCTAACTGGTTACCTAGTCATTTAGCGACAGGTAATTAGGCTATAGTAATCTCGTCTGTAGTTCCAAATGCTTAGATTGAATCAAAAGATATGAAATCAAATTTCTTAACATTTGTTATTAGACTAAAATAATTAAAAGATTGTCTACTTTAAAAGCAGTTGTTTAGATTGTTTTCTTTATTTAAGTAGATACAATATTAATATTGTGTACTAATGGCTCACGTTAAGCCAATATTAGTAATTTAAATAGATTTATTCTTTAGAGAATGTTTAAAAATTTAAAAGGGTAAAGTTAACTTGCTGTGAGCTGTAGGAAAATCCTTAAAGAAACACAAATCCATCAGAAAATGAATGAACTTTTATGCCACAACTTTATTATTGTATCTTCAATTTCATCTATAAGTATGTCTGTTTTTTTTTTTTTTTTTAGCAGAATACCAGGCTCCTAATGAGCTGGTATACAGATCAAGTAAAGAGATTCAGATATATTCTACAGCCTATTTTAAATTCCAATGGTTACAAATGCAGAAGTCGATTATGTCAAGTGTTAAATCTGATCTGTTAACTGAATTGAAAAAGTTGGATCCAAGCTCAAGGTTTCGTATGTTTTATATTATTTCTTTTGGATCTTATAATTTTTTATATAAGGGTCCAGTGTTAACAGAAATTAAGAATAATGTTTATATGAAAGGCTAATGAAGCATTGTTGAATTCGTCCTTATCATTAGGTATGTTTTAGAACAGGGCATTAGAATATAGTTTTTAGACTATTGAAGTCTGTATACATGTATATTTTGTCATTTCCTGAGCATACATTTGAACTGTCTGAAGTCTTGGGGGGTTGTGTAAATTGTTTCACACACGACTCGCTGTTCAGGTTGATTGTTGATCATTGATATTTTTTAATTTCAGAGAGTTTATACCATTGTATCGAGGAATATATTCATTATTGACGTGTCATGGTAATTTCCTACCTTCAGCCATAAAAGAAGCATAAACTATATTATCCTAAAAAGTTAACTGTGATAAAATATATTTATATATCATACTTCTTTATATACGACATTAGTACTCTAGTGGGAGGTTAACCTTGATTATACAGGGTGGTCAGCAGGGAGGTTAACCTTCATTAAACAGGGTGGCCTTATGAGAGGTAAATCTTAGTTATGCAGAGAGAGATTGACTTTGATTCTACATCTCTGGTTGAGTAAATGAAATAAATGTAGTTTTACATACTATTTTCTGCACCATGTGGGCTAATAAAACGGACGTCAGTGGGAGGGTGACCTTGATTATTCCCACGTGATTTAGTGGGAGATTAACGTTGATTATACAGTACAATCTGAATCAAAGGGTGACTACTTTCTGACAAAATTTAGGAGAGTTGACAGAGAAATGGTATATTTTTTTTACAGAGATGGGACCTATGGCTATATAAACGTTAACCTTTCAATTGGAATTTGTATCATAATGATACTGGATAAGAAAATTATTCTAGCTGATTATAATGGTTGTATTAGAAGATCAAAAGGAAGTTTAATTGCTCATGGTGGTCCAGTGTCATTCTTAGACAGCCGAGGCTTCAACGGAAATTTTTTTTTTTAAGAATCTTCCAGAATTGGGGTTTATGGCCTATATATATTTTTTAGCTGATACAATTTCAGTTTATCAAACCCAAAATTGGACCTACAAATCTAAAATGTTAACTGGCATAATCCATGTGAAGCCTCAACATATTTCACACCCTATTTAACAAATAGAAAGTCAAGGAATGCGTCTTTGAAGGGTAGACGAGTAGGAACATTAAGAATTATTTTTGCATTTGAGAATTTATTTTTTGAATGCCACCTAATCCTTAGACTGCATCTGAAAAATGGACATGTACAGTCTGCAAAGTCATGCATTTATAATATGTGTACTGAAGATTACTTTTTAAGTTGGACATTTGCTGAAAAATTAAGTGGGCTGATAAATCAAAAGATACTATACAAACCAATGCCAGAATCAAACCTGGCACTTATCAAAAATATATCGCAAAAGATTGGATCCATTTACATAATTTGTTGCCATTGGATTTTACATGTGCTCCTTGCTTCTAAATGTCGTTCAAATCTTAGATTAGTATTTTAGAGTTATGAATTTGTAACTCAATCAAAATCCATATTACATGACAAGACACTGAGGTTTTGTCTGAATTCCACTGCCTGCTCATTATGTGTCTCTTTTTGTTTCTAATGCATCAAAGTAGCATGGTGACATGAGCAGGCCAATGAATTTCAATAATGCCAAGATATCAACATTCTTTCTGAGGATGTATCCTAAATTTTGTAATGATTTAAATATTTTCAACAAAGTAGGTAAATAGAGAATTCCTAAATACATATGTAAATGCCAAATATTTGTTTTATATCTACATATATAATTTGTTCGCATGCAATCCTCAGCTTATCTACACTTTTACTTCTCTTCATTCTACCACCACCAGCTATCTGCATCAAATCAAGGATAAAACAGCATTTAATGTAGCTTCTAGGCTAACGGGGGATGTTATCAATTCTGGCCACTGCTTATTTCTTGCTTTCGGCTCAAGTTGGAAACAGGAAATCTGCATGAACACCTATCAGATGAGATTCAAACTGCTGTGTAGTCCCACCCACCGCTGCATTCAGCTCAGTTACATATTTGTTCCATAGAATTTAGAATTTCAATCACATTGAAAATTGATCCTAATGATCAAATCTAAATGGATTTGCCAATAAACAAATACAGCATTTTCATTGAAGACACTGCTAACAGGAAAACAGCTTCTGTTCAGCAACTGCCTGGATCATGGAACAAACAGCAAGATTCACCACGGCTTAACATTTAACAGCTAACGGCTCAGTTATCGTACCCAAAAACTCAGCTCCTGAGAGGGGAGACAAGAAAAATAGTGTAATTAGTACATGAAAACAACATGTTTTATTAAATGACAGTCAAATGAAACTATTACGATTAAAAATGGTAAACAGCACAATCACATAAAATATAACACCCAAATACATTCAATACTTGTCAGGAAAATTTGTTGATATTTTACAAGAACATTCCAAAAATCGATTTATGTATTTTTCATACATTTCTTGAAAAATCAAATTAAAAACAGAAATACAAGACGAAAAAAAATGTTACCTCTTAATACTGAAAGGCAACTGTTCTATGAACAATTCTGTGGGTAATGAATAAAGCAATAGGAAACATGATGATCGATGAAAGTAATATTTCCAAGTAAAACCAACAGACAAAACAGCACTGTTGAAGATCATTTAGTTCTGAGCTCAATCACCATTTTGTTGAGGGGATTCTGACCTAGATCTAGCAGGTGATTTAGATGGTGATCTACTTCTAGATTTACTAGGACTTCTGGACCTGGACTTGCTTCGACTCCTGGATCGGCTTCGTGAGCGTGATCGACTGTAAGATCTTCGTCTTCTGGAATATCTATCTCGGGATCTTGATCTGGGAAAAAAAAAAAAAACATTGAATGCAAGAATATACTAGCAAACATAATATGTATACCATTATTTTTAAAACAGACTTTGCCAGGCTATGGCTCCATGCTTCACACGCTTAATTGAGGATATAAAACCATAATTACCTTCGACTGTTGTATCTGGATCTATATCCACCACCATCTCTACCCCAATCTCTTCCACCACCACCACCACCATAATAACCACCTCCACCATGATGGTGATAACCACCCCTTCTTCTACTATCATGACCCCTCTGATTTGTTGGTCTACCATATCTAGCCATTTGTACCCGCAAATCTCGACCATCCATCATTGCTCCATCCATGGAGTCCATTGCATCTTCTGCATCTCGTTTATCAAAAAATCTTACAAATGCAAATCCTCTACTCTCTTTGGTAATTCGATCACGAGGAATGTAAATATCACCAACATCACCGTATTTTTCAAAAGCTCTTTTTAGATCATCAGGTCTTGTTCGATAAGTTAAATTGTCAACTTTTAAAGAAACCATTCCATCAGTTGAAGGGGGTCCATTCCCTCTACTGTCCCTATCCCTGTCTCTATCACGATCACTATCTCGCCTGTAACTCATTTTTTACCCTTGAAATTATTAAAGAAGTTGAAAATTACAAATGGCGACTGAACATGGAACGTGTCTTCTCTTCTCAGGTTGTTCGTGTTTTATGCTTTGTCTTTCAGTGTTGACTAGACGCCCGATAGATCGTGACTTGGTTACGCGTAAAACTAGTACTTGGATACATTATAATTATTAACGTTGATAAAAACATATATAAGGACTACGATTATATACCACATAACACAAATCAAATCTTATTATCATCAAACATGCCTGTCATTAAAAACGCACATAAAACGAGTTATGCATACTTTAAAAGAAGTTAAATAATTCGAAGTTGAACTTTTAGACTAAGAATGTAGACTCGATTCTTAGGTCCTTACTATTGCCAACAAGACATACACCCACAAAAATCTAGAAATTGGGATGATCGAAGCCGCGTGTATTCTTCGGTTTAAGACCCGAGCCAACATAAGGTGCCAGAAGGTGCATATTTGTATTTTGGAAACCCCTGTATTCAGACACGAAACTTGGTGTGAGTGTTTGTTATCACCCAAGGTTGAGAATCAGAAGAATCGATAAATATTTAGTATGAGTTATTGCCCTTGTTCTTAAAATTTTTATCTTGTAAACACTAAAAGGCACGATTCTTGCCAAATTTTGATAAAATTTGGTAACATTATTCAGCATCGCCCCAAAAAGTTCAAAATAAGTGTATGACTGAAGGTTGAATTTTAATTCATACTGCCAATTTTTTTTTTTTATCAAAATCTAAGCTGTCAGTGGGCGAATCTTGCCTGGCAAGCTATCTTTTAGAGAAGCATCCATGAACTAGTGTGAATCAACACTTTATTTGGTGGCAACTAAGATAACACCTATATATATATATATACACAGTCTGTTTGAAATATTAACAGTGTATAGGCCTACAGTAAGTAAAGTAGGTTTTTTTATTGACGTTTTGAAACAAATTCAGCATGATCAAATAGATACATAGGTGTAAATAGCATATTTTAGAAATATAAGTTTATTAAATTACATCACAAGTTCCCAAAAAGGGGAAAACAATTAAAACTATATTATTGTCTTGTTATTTGACGTTTCGGCTTACGGCCTTCTTCAGAAACACCCAAAATAGTGTAACCTATTTTCGTGGATATAAGGATTCAACACCGAATTTCGTCAAAGTCTTTGATGTTTCCTCAGATATTCTACAAAATAATTAAAATTGGTTTATTTCGATTTTCTTTAAGAATCATTCACTTTGACCCATATTTTATGAGCAACCAACTCGGCAACGGCGGCAGAATGCGTCACCTATTTTCGTATACAATGTTTGATCTATAAATAAGTCTAGAAAAACACGTTGTATGGATACCGGGTGGCATAATTAACTTCTCTTAGTATTTATCTTTAAAATCAATTCATTATAACTAGTGACAATTCCTTCAAAGAACCACGATTTTAAAATAAAATAGTGACTGACAAAATAAGATACGTAGCGTGATTTATTGCTAAAAGTCACTGAAACAACATAAGAATATGGTCCACTTTGTGTTCCATAGAAATTTTCTGCTGACACGGAATCCGCTAATTGATCACGTGACTTCATTCGTTGGACTACATTCTAGCAGACGACACTTGGAATTCATGGAGGGTCATGGAAGCCTGTCATGGAAGATTTGAAGTCCGTAGTTAATGCTTATTTACTCATTTAAAGTTGCTTTTTGATTATAATAATTGTATACTTTGGTACTTTTTTCTGTAGTTGGGAGTCGGTGATCTTGGTTCATCCAATCCCTACCAATTAATTCTACCTCACCCGTCACTCCGTCAGTGAGTTTGTCACTCCGTCAATGAGTTCGCTACTCACGTCTACACTGTAATTGAGCTACATATGGTCACACTTGAAGTCAAAAACCGTGAAATCTAAGTCAAAGTCAGAATAGGTTTCTGCAGCTTTAACTTTATTTGGACCATTAATGTATAGATAGTTCAAAATATAACACTTAATCGGTATGGACCAAAACTATCCTTTTTTGGAACTGCAACTATTGTATTTTTTTTAACGGCAGTTTCCATACTTCAGGATATTCTGACAACATTATGCGGTGGGTTAATCCAGAAAATATTCACCCTAGTCAATTAGGACAAAGGGCATTGTTCCAAAATGACGACTGGTTAGTACCTACGCAGAACATGCCAACAATATATTGATCAGAGTGAAAGCTTTTAAAAGGGTAGCCTACGTAGGTTAATGCACACCGATGTCTTGAAGCATTACCGAAATTAAGTTGCTTAAGTATATGTCCGAATGAGATTGAAAAGTTCATTATTCTGTCAAAAGACGAACATGTACGAACATTTCTCTCATCCCGAGCAATCACCAAACAAGATGGCAGGCTAACAGATGCCGTAAGTCTAATGGTGCTCTTAACCCATGGGCGCAGATCACGGGGGGAGGGGCGTAAAAATTATAGGAAAACCTGGAGGGGACATGATATCCTGTGCCCCCCCTCCCACAAATGGTGAAGCTTAGTTGAATAGAATTTCTGTAATGGAAGTAAAATAGGCACAATTTGGCATCCGAGAACATCAAAGTGCCGAAATTTTGCGCCTGCGGCGCACTATTGGAACAATTTATGGGTGAGAGATAGGCAGACCATTCCTTCGTTTTGGGACCCATCTCCAATCACAGAAGCGTCGTTACGAAGGGGCACACATAGCGAATTTTATCGTGCGCATATTTTCGTCGAGCATATCATGTGATCAGTACAAATGGGGACCGCAACTGAGAGGACTTGATTGGTTATAGATCACCCAAGTGAAAATTGAAGTTTTTAATTCAAAACTAATTTTCTCCTAGGTCGTGGGCACCCGCTGGATGACTGAAAAATTCAGTAACATGCAAGAAGGTGCCTTTCTTTCTATAATATTTCTGAGAGCTATAAAGATACGGTGTCACCAGCTCAACTGAAACGTCCTCATGTCGCTATACTCTGCAATCGAATTCGCACCTTCGGTACGACCCCCTTTGAATAAATCCTGCGTACGCCACTGGCATACTAGACTAGTGTTCCGACCAGGCGTCGGACGCAGCCAACGCTTCCGCACCTAATTTCATATCACGAGGCGCGCGGTTTTGTACCATATTTGGATTGTGACGTCATCAATGTCGTCACCCAAGGTCGTCTTCATCAAAACCCGTGGTAGTAAATATATGTCGGCCTGCACTGTACGATAAATCTACATGTGACTACTGCGAAAGAGACGTGAAAGAAAACCTCTGGGAATCCATAAATCTTTGGATAATCTTCAAAAGTAGACCTGATGGTAGAAACACTCGAACGCGGATTAGAACTCAGACGGGGACGTTGACGCCAACACAGAAGCTTTATGGAAAAGTGGCCTTATGGTGTGAAAACGATTATCTTACGCTTGTGACGCGTTTATTTGAGATGATTTCATATCTGATTTACTTTTATATATATATATATATAGGCTATATATACAATTCACAATATTTTCTATTAAAAATACTAATGGCTTAATCAATATCCTTAAAGAAAAAGTTAATGTTATTTTGGTAGGCTACGTTCATTGTTGAAAAGCAAATAATGCATATATAATCTCAAGTTTGGTGGCTCGCAAAGAATATGTGCCTCATGAGAGAACAAATTTTGTTGAAAAAAGCAAGAGATCGTGTTTCACTCATTACTTTGCAACTCCGAAGACAATTATGGTTTGTTTCTCAAAGGGACAGATTCGCTATTTTCGGGGAATGATTTAGGTCTTGAATATTATGTAAATAAGTCTTCAGAAGTACAAGAAATGTATGTATTAAACATACCTCTAGCTATGTATTTCGCTTTCTATTTCTATAAATCTTTTCTATACATGGCGGTGTTTCAAGAAAAGACGATTTGTCCGTTTAAATTTCAAACACGGATAATTCTGGACACATGGATTAGAAGCCTCAAATATCGACGGTCAGCTTCGAACACACTATTACTGATCAGCTTAGCTAAAAATTCCGGTTTCTGAGACTGGGGTACCATTGGTCAAAGGGATGGCGAACGTGTCCCTTTGTGAGAATTTTTTTTATTATCACGAACGTTTAGATCGTACCTTAGGTCTGAGATCTTGTCGATATAAACCTACACACCCAATCTTTTGAGATTTTAACAAAAACTGTGATCTCATTCACTTAACAGGCCACTTTACATATACTTTTGGTATATCAAGGTCTTTAGCTCAGGAAAGATTTGTCAAATTGTGCCCAATTGGGAGTTAAGTTTGAACTAGCTTGGATATCATCCTATACAGTTTAAAAAAAAAACAGACCAAAAATGTTGCTTTCAGTGTGATCGAACAGGAGTAAGAGCAACATACGCCCACATTACAATGTGTACATATAAAACAAGTTATATCCCAAAAATTTGTTTTGGATCAAAAGCTTACATGGTATTGCAAGAAAATTTTGTTCTAAAGTGATTTAGTTGGAGCTATTTATAGGTCAAACAGTAGGAAAACAGCATCCTAAAAGATCTTAATGGTTCCTATATAGCCTACAGGTCACCAAAACATATGCCCATCTAATATTAGATGTATAAAATCAAAACTGATCCAATTCCCTAAAGCTGAAAGAACAAAAACTGCATGTCAGCTGCTTTCAGGAAACACTGCTAGCCGGAAACTGTTACAATACAGGTACTGCTCAGTACAGGTGAACAGGCTACAAACTGCAAGCAGTGGTCACTCTAACTCTTAGTCAGCAAACAGCTCAATAACCCGAAACTCAGCTCCTGATAGGGAGACAAGAAAATAAATATAGGTTAATAAATGTAAATTTATTAGACATTAAAATCTTTTAAATTCAAAACTGATGGATTTTAAAAAACTGAATGATAGCAATCAAAAGGATTCTCATAAATGGATGCAAGTGTAACTAGCATTCAAGATTGCTCACAAATAAAAACTGTTTGTCTATAATTATTTACATGATGGAGAGATAAAGACATCTACCATGGAAATGATAGTAACCTTTTATAACTGTACTAGGTTTCCTAGAGTTAATGTCAGCAGCACAGGTTATCTCTCCATTGTCTTAAAAACCCAGCCAATAACACTGGTGTCGTAGCACTAAATTGAACACCCCTTTTAATCTGCTTCCTGCTGTGCATCACCCGGTGATCCTCCTCCATTTGCTTGCGGTGATTTCGATGGTGATCTTGATCTCGATTTTCTAGGTTCACTTGCTGATCTGCTTCTTGAACGAGTTGGGCTTCTTGATTTTGATCTACTCCTTGATCGACTGCGAGATTTTGATCTACTGTAGGATCTTGATCTTCGTCTTCTTGAATGTCTGTCCCTTGATCTGGACCTGAAATATATTACTCGAAATGATAATGGTTGTCATGTAAATGATTCATTCATTAAATAAAATGTGATCATAATAGTGAGCATATTCAATAGGCCTACATCTTATTAGCATAGTATGCATGAGAGAGCATGGTGAGCTATCTTTTGTACTACAGTGTACTGATATAATGTAATACAACAAGATACAAAGAAAGATGACCTACTAACCTAGATCTACGCCTATCTCTATCGTGTCGATGATAGCCTCCTCCTCCACCATGATAGTTGTTTCGTCTGTTATCGTATCTTCGATTATCATATCTTTGATTTGTCGGTCTACCATATCTTGCCATCTGAACTCTCAATTCTCTTCCATCCATCATCGAAGCATCCATTTCGTCCATTGCATCTTCGGCGTCCCTTTTGTCGTAGAACCGTATGAACGCGAACCCTCGACTCTCCTTTGTAAATCGATCGCGTGGTATGTAAACATCTCCAACATCTCCAAATTTCTCGAAGGCCCGTCGAAGATCTTCAGGTCGAGTTCTGTATGTTAAATTGTCCACCTTCAAAGATGTCATTCCTTCTGTATTTGGGGGCCCTCTACTGCCGTAACTCATTTTCAGACTAAAACCAGTAAACTTTCAAGAGTATTTCACCTCCTCTATCGAAACTGTAAACCGCACTGAATGAAGAAGAGAGGCGTGCCTGCTTTATTCCCGTGAAATTTAGTTGACATTGATTGGTCAATCAGAACGTTTTCCCGCGTTTCTGAAATATCTTAACCAATCAGCATCTGATATTTTCCGGTAAATAATGTATTCATTACGGAAACTGGCGGAAACCCACGTGATGATTCCTTGTCATGTGATTGTAAACTGAACAAGATGGCTGTCTGTGATGTTCGGTTTTACAATATTATAATCTTAGGATTATCTTTTATGTTCATTTTCACAGCTTTTCAAACATGTTCAATGATAGAGGTAAATTATTGTTTTTAATTTACATTGAAATGTATATACTTCTATGTGTCTGTGGCTGACATACAGAAAATTGTCTTTTTTGTAGAATGTTTTCCAAAATATTAAGTCAAAAGACTGTCAAAGAGCCGTAATTTTATTGGAATAAATATAACAACAAGGCTAAACGCTAAAAACTTCAAATGAAATCATTGACATTTCATGTGTGTGTTTTGTAGTTATTTATTTGTGTACTATGTAAGGTGATGTCAACTAGTCGGCACTACATAAAGAAAGAAAGTGTGTAAGTAGGTTAATATTCTATATATTGACCTTTATTCACTAACCTGACCCAAATATCAGGCCAATTGTCTTTACAATAATAGGTAAAAACAAAATTTACAAATAATTTTTAATGAGAATATGAATATCTGTATCAATTACTACTCCTGTCAATTATTCATGGGGCAATATAAATACATATACATGTAACTAAGGTCTTGCTTATTTCTTTTAGTGTTTATGACCGATTATAAAGATGTATCATTTCCAACTGACCTCTTTGTTTTCTTTATTTCAGGCTTCAACCTTAATAGTTTGGACTATTGCCACTGTTAGCTTTAACAAAGAACAATGATGTCAAATATTTGGCTACTATATCCCATTAAATTGAGAAACTATAGTGATCAGATTCATGTCTGTCAATTTGTTCATTAACACCTTTTCAATTGACATTTTTAATCTTTTCATCTTTTAAAAGCTGTAATAGGATTAAAACATAAGGGGATTATTACTAGCTAATAGTCATTTATTATGTAATTAAATATGTGATGTCTGAGTGCATATCACACTTGTCCAATTATACCTTAATTAACTTTTCCCTTCCAACAAGATAACAAAGAATGCAACAAATTCTCAATATGAATTAGTACCATCAAACTACATGTATTACATAATATGTTGAATTGAACTAGATATATGATAAACTGATTTACAAGATAAAAAAAAAAGATATGATAGACTGATAGAAGAACATAAGTAAATGTATATGATATCATTTCAACTATAGTAGATGATAAATAAAACAATAAATGATAGCATCCAAATGACTTTTTATGATTTGTGATGTAGCCTACTGTTGTATAACTTTTTCATTTCTGTTACAGCTAGTACTTATTATTATGCTAATTAACAATCAAAAGAATCAACGTTTGTTTTGGTATTCTATGAGAAATAATATATTATAATAATGATCAGATTTTATTTCTCAAGCAATTTCTTTGAATCTATGTTGGTTTATAAGTATTTATACACCCATATCTCTCTATGTGGACAAATATTTTCGTCACCTATGTACATGTCTTATTATTTCTAATTTCAGAAAACTGTGTTAGATAGCGCCAAAAGAGATATTGAAGAGAAAAATGGAACATTTTCAGGAGATGGATATACCAGGTTATTATTTTATTCTATTTTACAAGCTCCAGCAAGATCACTTGCATTTTACCTATTACTTTATACCACAATGCACAGTCTTGAATGCCTTTAAGAATTTCTAGTACATATAAAGTGTTTTAAGAGATACTCAGCTATATAAGTGATGCTCTCCTATAGAAGTGATGCTCTCCTATAGAAGTGTTGGTGGAAAGAGTTGTCAATGTTTTTGAATTTGAAATGAAATGGTCACTTTCTGTCTGTCTGTTTCAAATTCATGTCAGCTTAACTCTGCATCATTGACAAGGGAAACAATGTTGAAAATTCTTCTTGATCAAGCAAGAATATAATTAGTTCAACCAAACATTGTCGCTCAGATTTGAGACTGTGAAGTACAAAAAGCTTGTACATAACCATTTTTATTTTGATTCTGAACACATGTATGATACTTGTGAATATTATGTTAAAACTCTCTCAATTCTAAAAGAAATTCTCTGACTAAAAACTTGTTATAACAGATATTCTTCTACAGTAAAACAGTTATTTTATGTAATTCAATGTTATATTTCGTTTCAGTTTGGGGATTATATACGCTGTGTTTTCAGCTTCTAATTGGGCAGCCCCATCATTCGTTAACTTTGCTGGAGCAAAACTATCCATGTTGCTCGGAGCTTCATTATACTTGTAAGTATGATAGAAAATTCAGACAAAATTGCCTTTCTCATATATTTATATTTCTGTATATGTTATAATGTATTTATATACATTTAATGGTAATATCATGGTATTTATATACATGTAATGGTAATATCATGGTATTGATATACATGTAATGGTAATGTAATCCTATTTATATACATGTAATGGTAATATAATGCTATTTATATACATGTAATGGTAGTGTAATGTTATTTAGATACATGTAATGATAATATAATGCTATTTATATACATGTAATGGTAATGTAATCCTATTTATATACATGTAATGGTAATATAATGCTATTTATATACATGTAATGGTAATGTAATCCTATTTATATACATGTAATGGTAATATCATGGTATTTATATACATGTAATGGTAATGTAATCCTATTTATATACATGTAATGGTAATATAATGCTATTTATATACATGTAATGGTAATGTAATCCTATTTATAGACATGTAATGGTAATATAATGCTATTGATATACATGTAATAGTAATGTAATCCTATTTATATACATGTAATGATAATATAATGCTATGTATATACATGTAATGGTAATATAATGCTATTTATATACATGTAATGGTAATGTAATCCTATTTATATACATGTAATGGTAATATAATGCTATTTATATACATGTAATGGTAATGTAATCCTATTTATAGACATGTAATGGTAATATAATGCTATTGATATACATGTAATGGTAATATAATGCTATTTATATACATGTAATGGTAATGTAATCCTATTTATAGACATGTAATGGTAATATAATGCTATTGATATACATGTAATAGTAATGTAATCCTATTTATATACATGTAATGGTAATATAATGCTATTTATATACATGTAATGGTTATATAATGCTATTTATATACATGTAATGGTAATATAATGCTATTGATATACATATAATGGTAATGTAATCCTATTTATATACATGTAATGGTAATGTAATCCTATTTATATACATGTAATGTTGTATTTTATATTTCAGTTTGTTTATTTTGTCCTTCTTGAAACCTATGACATGGGCTTTATATCTTGGATCTGTTTTAGTGGGCTTCGGAGCAGCTAGTAAGTAATTGCCTAAATCTGTGTTTAATGTTGAGAAAATTTTAAGAAGGTAGAATTGTTCATAAAAGACTATGGACTCTGATATCAAATAAATTCATTAAACCTATCAAATATAATTTGAAGCATCTATCAAAGTAGTAGACCTCAGAATGAAATCAGGAAACAACACATTTAATATCAAATTGACTGATTGAGTTTATCATGGTGTTTGAATTACTGGTAGGATGATATAAATCACTTGATATTTTTACATGAATCACTTTGATAAAAAATGATAAAACATTAAAAACTAAATCTAAATTGCATAAAAAATATCTGGTTTCAACAACCCTTATCTGAATTTTGTATTTTAATTCTAGTTTTGTGGACTGGTCAAGGTAATTTCCTTACAGTGAACTCTGATTCTGAAACAATTTCTAGAAATAGTGGAATATTTTGGGCTCTACTACAATGCAGGTAGGTCAAACATTTTACGAATGTTTCTTTTAATCAAAACTATCATACATTACAGATTCTCAGGTCTTATTTTGGAATATTGTTGATAACTATAACGGGATAAAGATGAAGCCATTGATGCAAACATTTGTAAAATTTTGATATTTTTGACAATTATTTGCAAATGATTTTTTTGATGTATAAGATATAAATGCCTGTATTTAATTTTTCATTTCAGTTTATTATTTGGCAACATGTACTCGTATTTTGTATTTAAAGGAAGTTCAGAGATATCAGCAGATCAGAGAACTAATTTATTTCTGGGTTTATGTGGTGCAGCTGTATTGGGCTTATTATGTTTATTATTATTAAGAAAAAAGATTCCTAGTAACAGAAGATTTGAAGGTTCTACAGATAACGAAGCTTCTGTTAATCTTAATTCTAGGTTAGTTGAAGACACTTTTCTACAAAAAGTGTGTCAGAAATCTTGAAAAAAAACTTTATCCTTCAAGACTGTAAGAAATTGGTCACATTATTGTTTCTGTATCTCTTTTTTGGTTGAAATTCAGAATTTCAGATGTCCTGATAATACACTGCAAGATAACCTCTTTTCTCACAGTCACCTCGACAATTGGAAGATCCAATGTCAGACTTTTAAAAATGTTTTCTGCTATATTTCAGTGAAGCTTCCACATCATCTCAGTCTAGTCCATCAGCTTTAGAGGGTTTAAGTAAGTTTTCTTTTTTCAAACAAAATAAGTATGCAAGATAAAGATGAACAAATTGACTGTTGAAATATTATGCATTTAGTTGTTTTAGAGCACTTCTAGTGACAGAGCTGACCATTATCTTCTGAAATGAAAGAAATCCTCTCTCTTTTCAGCTTTGACTCCTTCTTTCTGCAACATGCTTCTAAAAATGAAATTTTCTTTCAAATTTTGAAATAACCTCTAAAGCAAGTATTTTTGTTGAACACTGTACTGACATTATGGACAATACTTATAAAAACTAATATAATAACAAAGTAGAGAATGATAAAATATTTACTATAAATAATGGATGTTTGTATTGTTATTTACAGAAACAGCCTTCAGGTTGGCAAAAACCAGGGAGATGATATTATTAAGTTTTACTTTTGCCTATACAGGTTAGTTGTACAATTTTTGTACAGGGGCCTGTTTCACGAATACCTAACTATTACTTAATGATTTTAGTCTTTTAGTTATTTGTTTGATCAATCACTAAACCAGATTTTAAATATAGCTTTATCAACCAATCAATTTATTGTATTTCTTGAGTATTATCTTAGGTAAAATTTTGTGAAATTGTCCCCTGATATGTATGTTGCCCTGCAATTTAAATCTTTGTGAAATCGTGTATTCTTAATCATATCATTATGTTATTATTGCATGTAATTAAGAGTTTTAACCAATCACAAATATCCATGTATGTACAGTCTGGATAAAGAAAAAAACAACTTTTTGACCTTTCTTAAACGGTCACTCAATGGAATTCTGTTGGTAATTCTCTGAAATAATTATGGACATGAGAGACAAATTGGTATGTTTGCAAGTAATTAGAACATCTCTACTTTCTATTCATATAAGTATTAGCATTTTCATTTTCATAAATGAAAATAAGGGAATCCATCTTAAAAGAAAAGATCTATGCTATGATGTAGATTCCATGTTGAAATATTTGAGCAATTTATATATGTTTTGTTCCTTGGTCTGGAACTGAACTTTTTTACGACTTTTCATCTCAGTGAATATTGTATTTTATATGTTTTATTTCTAGGTCTAGAACTGACTTTTTTTAGTGGTGTATATGGAGCCTGTATATCACATAATTTACATTATGGTGCCAATAGAAATGGTTTAGTAGGTTTATCAGGAATGTTTATCGGTGTTGGTGCCATTTTAGGTAATAATGTTTTTCCTTCTCTTATTTCAGTGGTAGATCTCTAGTTCCTATTCCTGATATAGAAACAGGGTTTGGATGAAACCCTTCTATAAAAGCAGAATGCTTTTGAATTTCTCATGCAACAAAATGATTTTATTTGATTATAGATCAATATAACATATAATATTTAATGTTTGATCCCAACTCAAGATTTGATTAAAGTTTGTTTTTTTTTGTATGATTTTAGGGGGTGGAATATTTGGCATATTTGGTAAAAAAACCAATAAGTATGGTCGTGATCCAGTGGTAATAATGGGTTATTTAAGTCATATGATAGCATTCTACCTCATCTATATTAATATACCTGAAAATTCTCCTCTAGTTGATACTGAACTACCTACTTTTATAGAATCTAAGTAAGTGTAAAGAATTTTGGCACTTTAACATATGCAATAGACAATGTAAAGATTATCAAAAACAACAGACTTTCTTATAACTGTAATTATTCATGGGCATCTGAACTTAATTGATCATTCTAAATTCTAAACTATTGATTTAAAAATGAAATGGTATTTAACCTACTACTTTTTTGCACTTTGCTGGACTAATAAAGACAACAAATGAATTATATTGACATAATAATCATTTGTCTTGATCTATTTCAGAAATACTTGTAAAAGTTTTTATAATAAAAAGTATATGACTTATTTCTTTCCTCATATTTGATAGTTAGTGAGTATAATAAATTTTTATTTCAGTGATAAATTGGCATTATTTTGTAGTTTTTTGTTAGGATTTGCTGACAGTTGTTTTAATACTCAGGTAAGATAAATATTCAAATGTAGAATTATATATTATAGACTTAAAGTAATTTATATTTTGTATTTTAGTTATAATTTATAGATAATTTGAATATCAATGATATCTTATATTCTGTTATTGAATTATGATTTTTTAGCACCAATTGTATTGTGTATTCTATATTTTAATTTGAAATATTTTGAACATTAATTTAAAACTCATATTGTGTATTTTAATTATAAATTATAAATTTCATATCTTTCAGTTATATTCAATATTAGGTTTTATGTATCCTGATGATAGTTCAGCAGCCTTTGCTCTGTTTAAATTTGTTCAGGTAACTATGTTTTCTTTATGTGGTAATGACTCTTGGCAGCTTGATTTGATATATCATTGCAAATTTGTGGCCACTATTCAACAGAACGGGGAAGGTTCATTAAATTGATGCAGGAGGTGAATTGGCATGTTAATTTAACCTACAAATACAATGGTAGCAGAGCAGTAGGTGAATAATGATTTGTTGTAGATCTGCTACATCAGTTGCCATGGAAACAAATTTGGTTCTGACTTAAAACCAGTTGGTCATTGGCTCAATTCCTTCAATTTAGATCTCTCAGGCTGTGACCAATGCTTTTACTCAGACAATTCTTTACCACTAGAGCTAGCTTTGACTGTAGACCAGCACTAGGATTTTTTAGATGTATAATAGCATGGATAATTTATATCCATCCAATATCCATCCAGTTTTTAGATATATTTCTAGACTTTAAGAAATTAATTTGATATATTTTGTTCTTTCAGTCTGTATCAACAGCTATAGGTTTCTACTATAGTTTAGCTTTACATTTAGAATGGCAGTTATTGATACTAGTTATAACAGGGACTATTGGTACACTCACTTTTAATATTATAGAATGGGAAAATAATGCAGGGACCAGAGAAGGCTATCAAACTATATGACTTGTTCCCAAGGTGTGTAATTTAAAACCTATTCGAAACCACTTCTTGAAATTATGTTTCTATTGCTAGTCAATTATCTAAACCACTTGTTTTATTAGAACTCTTGATATTTGGTGTCATTATTTTCATCGGGTTACTTCACTCATATCATGATCTGAAGACATTTTATAAGGAATACATGTTGACAACCAATCCATGCTCTTATTCTTATGAGAAATTTTGGGATACCCATCCATGAATTTGACTTGTAGCCTAGTGTAAACAATTGGATAGGTTTTGTGTGAATCATGATGGAAATCAAACAGATGTAAGATTTGCAATGAGTGAAGTATTACACAGAAAATAAATAAAATAGCAATATCTAGAGCTATTGATATATATTAATATTGAACAAAGAAATCTTTTGTTTAAAAAGAAATAATTACAATCAAAATATACAAAAGCATCAGGGTTTTCTGAAGAGTTTTGCTTCAAATTTGTCTTTAAATTTGTTTCTTTCAAGTCACAAACTGTATTTCTACGGTTATCAAATCAGATGGGCTCATCCTCTGACTGGACAGTGGAAATAGTCAATGATAAAATCTTCTTGATAAGATACATGCTTCATGGTAGAAAGAGATTCTGTCCTTCAACAAAAACACTGAATTTGAATAATTTTAGATATACATATCAACTAATGTTACATTATGTCTGTGATATAATTATAATGATTTTTCATGTTGTCTATACAGATACTATTATAGTTGTGATGTAAATTCGTAACTTTTGTTACTCATGACTACCTCATGCACATTTCACCCTTTGAATACTGAGTATGAATAGAATAAATAAAACCCAAGTTCTATAACTTATAACATGTCATGTTAAAGCTTTATCACATCTCTTGGTAAAACTTGAGAATAATGCATGTAATTATTTGGCCTTATTACTTTTTGAAATCTTAACTTAAAATGATTTTAGTGTTCCAGTCATGTGATTGGTCAAGCACTAAAATTGACTTTTATTATCCAATCAGATAACTGTATTTCTTAAAATCTGGATTTTTATCTTTGTTAAGTTTTTATGAATAAGGCCCCTGTAGAGCAGCCTCTCTTGTGGAAAGGGTTGAATAGAAACAACATATCAAGAATAAAAATGTGTTTATTATGGTTGGTTTCTTTACTAATATTCTATTTTTGTGTATAGTTGACTTATTATTTGTTTTTAATTTAATGTGTAACAACTGTATGAGATAATTCTGCCATAGAGTAATGACAGTTTAAACTGACACAGTAAGTTATGAAGTGCAGGGTAACAGAGTGTCAAATACTTAATCTTAATAGTGCTAAAAGATAGGTGAAATTGAACTGGTTGACTAAATGCTTTTCAACATAGCTGCAAAACAATCCCATTTGCCAAACAATAATTTAACATCGATTTATAGGACTTAATTGAGCTATCTATGAACCTTGTATTGTGTGTTGATAATATTTTAGGTAAATGTTGGCCAAACAGAAAATACTGATCATAATTTTATTGAATTGTATGAAACCCAGGTATAGATGTTTAAAGTACATTTTTCTTGTCGGGGCTGTTGGGTTCACCATATACCAGTCCTAGACATGATAATTTTACCCACAGCTTTACAATTCTACCTTGCTTCACTCATTTATTTTTGAAAATGCTTGCTTGCTGCTTGAAGTAAAAAATATGGTACCTCCCCAGTGCTCCTTGGTTCTGCCTATCCTTATGCTTTAGATATTTTAAACATTATTGTTTTATTCAGAAACAATTTTGGCTAAAAAACTATATATTTTTGTATATAGTGCTCAATTTTTTTCTAAAAAGGCTTGCCAAATTAGACACTTGAAGTTTCCCAGTCAATATTGACAGTTCACCATTTTTTTAGATGATTGCTGGAGGACCATACCCCAACTTGACAATGTGTTATCAATGGTATTGGTTTTTTACTGATATTATTATTGTGTGATATTTCCATGACTATGTGTCAAGATAGATAATACTGATCAATTTTTTTATTTAGTATAATTAAATGATAATTGTACAATGAATGTTTATATAAATATTATGTTTCCAGTATTCGCTATCAGTGATTGGTTCCTGTGATCACAACTTAATCTATTTTCATGTACAATGTTAAAACAAAACAAAACCTAACACTCCCTCAAAAATCTTTTCATTTTATCTTTAAGAGAGTCATTATGAATGTTTTTTTCTAAATTCCATAGAACAGTATTTATAAACATTGGCATGCATTTAGTTCATTAGTATTGCTTAATTTGCATTGTATTTGGATAACTTTGGTTTTGCAATGATACAACAGAATGCTTGCCACCAGGGATTATGTAGACCTAAAGCTGTTAAGGAATTTAGGCTATTCTGTATCTAATTTTCTATATGAACTATATGTAAATCTGCTTTTTTTTTTAATTTAACTCTTTTCATATATATATTTGTGTATAGTATAATTTGTAATATTTTTAGAATTTTCCTTCACTTCTTAAAAAAATAGAAATTAAAAAATTCTGATTTTAATTATCTTATGTGGACGAACACAAGATGATGAGCTGGTGACCCCACATCTAGCATACACAGAATATAAGCTTTGGTCATACAGATGAATATACTGGTGACTTCAAATCTAACAAATGTTGATTAGTAAACCTACATCTTACTTGATAAGCCACTTTAGCCCCAATCTGAATTTGATGAAATCCTGAAAATGATATGTTTCTTGTTGAGAGGAAAATGTATCAAAACACCAGAAATTGGGAAACATGAACAACTTTATTCAGTACATATTCACAACTTATAATAAACATGACATATACAGTGCAGTAGAAACAGCCAAAATTAGCATTAAATACAATACAATCATGCAAATCAGAATTTGCTAAGTTTTGGAAAGTTTCAGAATTAAAGGTTATTTGAGATCAAAGAAGTAAAAACACTTGGTCCAGAAAAACAAATCAGAACATAGCTATCAATGGAATTAGATTTGCTGCCAAGTTGTACAAATTTCTGATGAAATTCAAGCCATTTTGATTGAAATGTTGGGGATACAATAATTTGATTCATAAGGCTCCATGATCAATTGGGTTACACCAAGTCAAATAAAGACAAAACATCTAGATAATATTGAAACATAAAAACATTAAATACGAGATTCTAGCACATTGCCTTTTGATGATAGTTCTATATAAGTGAATTTAAATATCTTTATCAAAAAAAAGGGTTGTCAGATCAAAACAATGGAGAGGCAGCTTTTAGCTGACTACTGTGAACAGCTTAAGTGTCATAACATTTGGTAATGAAAAATCAACTGAAACACTCACTTACATTAAGTCAAAAAAGATTAATTAATATTAAATATTCTTGATTGGAATTAATTTAGCCTAAAATAAGGAACAGTTTTAAAGCAAATAAGAAATATGTTTAATAATCAAACCTAAGGTGAATGTCCTAAAATGACATTATAAATGAATTTGAATATAAATGTAAAAGCATAAATAAGCTAAAAAATAAATTATGTTCCGCTGGGAATTACTACAAGTAATTGTGTAGATTGAAGAAAATAACCAGTTCAGTGATGTATATTGTAAATAGATGTAAGACTTTCATAAATCTTTTACCCACGGAGCAAAGTTCAGATTTTTCTTATACTCCACAGGCTATGAAATTGGTAGCAAGTAAGCAAGGGAATTCTTATTTACAAACAAGTATATGAATTAAAATATGTACTATTCACAAACAATATTTACAATATACATAGAATATAGAAATTTATATTTTAACAATACCACAATATTCTAGCTTCAACCAAATTATTTATTTTTTTCAGATTATGATATTGAGTTTATCATTTGCTTGGACTAAATTCTAATACAACTTTATTTTTTTTATATTATTTTAAACTGTGTAACAATTTCAATATATTGCAAAACTTTTTCTTATTTATCCTTTGAATTTATGCATTGTAACTTCAAATGTGTTTCCCAAATTCTATCATAGACCATCAAATATTTCTTTGGCTGTGTATGTCCTAATAATTTGTGATTTAAAATAATTTGGTTGAGCTATTTTAAGTAGACTAACCTCGATATGTAGCACTAAACAAGATAACATACAAGGAATTTGTTCATATTTTTTTGGTCTATTTATATAATGGAACAATAACTACAAACTACTATGGGATGAAAAAAACCTTAATATTGCAGATTATATTTTGATCTTTTTACCTATATCTTATCAAACCAAATTCATTTCTTTAAGACAAAAATGAAACACAAAAAGAAGAATTGATATGGATTCATTTTATAAATTTCATGAATTTTTTGAAGTAGATTATTTCCAAATATTCAGGTTGTAATTGTACACGATGGTTGAATATTTTATCATTCATAGATGTCAACTCTAAAATGATTTTATTTCTTACTGAATATGACTTAAATTGTTTCATCAGCAAGCTTATATAACTTAAAAAATATTGTATAATATATAAAATATCACAATTATGCGGATGAGTTGAAACAAAAGCTGGTAGAAAAAAAGCAAGTGATGGTTGATGAAATTATAGAAAATAATACAAATAGAAACTGAGCAAAGAGAAACAAGAATGTTAACATTTTAATTCTTAACTTAAGAGAACATCATATATTTGGTAGCAAGTAAGTTAATAAATGTTATTTATTTTCAACAATAATCAAGGGTGCAATTTTTGTTTGATAGGGAATGGTGAAAGAGAGTTTAACCCACAGCACTACAAGATAAATTACCCACAAACCAACTACCCACTGGTGTTTACTTTCTTATATAATGTGTGAATGTGGTTTGCTAGTGGAGATATTATCGCACAAAGACAACACATTAGAACTATATCTATATAATTATTACTATATCTAGAACATATTATAACATACAAGATACACATTTTATCTTTAGAAACCAACATCAATTATACCACTATTAGTAGTTGTTTGCCTGTGCCGGGTATTACCACAAGGCCATGATTTGAAACTTTATATATTGTATTATTATGATAGACAAAATGTGACACTTTATCTTTAAAGTTTCTATGATATTAAATGATAGTTAATTTTTTAGATAAATAATATTACTAGTAGTTGATTGTCACTCAATTTTCAAGAGCTTACTGCCATCATATGATCATTTACAAACAAATTTCAACTTTGGTTTCTGGATAAAGTTTAGATATATCTGTATATATAGTTGTCTGTTATACCTCAAATCAACAAGTTTTGATACACAACCATAGCAATAATTCTATTAAATGATATATCCTGCCAGCACTATTGTTCACATGTGTGTTGTGTAGTATGTCAAACCCTTGTTTTAGGACATCATTCAAAGGCAGACCATTTAGGTTAAGTAGCCTGCTGTATCACGTCATGACCATGTTATCTTAACACATGGTTTCTGAAGACAAAATGTGTACTAGAATAACATCAAATAACTTACAGTATATTTATAATATGTATATATATTTTGTTTACAACCATAAAAATAAAGAATCTTATTTGCAATATTTCAAGTGTCGCCTATAAACAAGCCTTTATAACAATAACTGTGAGACAGACATCAAGAAGTTATTTTTATATTATTATTAAGTTACCAGTTTTCATTCAATTTACAGCAATTTATACCAGTATATCAAATTCTTATTAATTCTGACCAGAACATTTCAGCCATTAACTGATTTTTTGCTATTAACCATGTGTATAACAAACTGCAGACATACTTCAATATCAGATCATTTTGTTGGAATGATGTTCAAACTCACCAACTTTTGCCAAAAATTCAGTCAAATTAATAATACCAGACAGAATTAAGAAGTAATTTGATTGATACAGAGTTTGATGTTTGACTGTTCCCTGAAGAAAAATTAAGAGTTACTGTTCTTACTTGATCATTCATTGGAATTCATCATCAGAACTGAGAAGAGTTGTCTTTTCATTAAAACGATGTTTATTTGGTGTTGTACCTGGTGGACCTGGTTGTCCTGGAGTACGAGGCTGAGCTTGACCATGACCTTGATTATTCGGCTGTGTTGTGTTGCCGTTTGGTGTAGTTTGACCTTGATATTGATATGGTTCATTAGGCCACATACTATCTATGCGCTCTTCATCTCGGGTTGGTTTTGAACCATGCTGGTATTGGGTATATTGTTGATATTGAGGATGAAAGTTGTGGATAGCATCCTGCATGATATCTCTAGGATTCATAGTTTCCTTCAAACTACTAGAGATGCTCTGTAGAGATACAGTACGGCCATGAGTACTTGTTGGTCCAGAACTGTAGACACTGTGAGGGAAAGCAAATCTAAGAGCAATAGCAGCCACAAACATCTCGATACAAATGAAGAAGTTTTGCCAGCCAGCAGATACAGTACCTACACCTACTACTAGTTGATTACCTTCATGATATATAGGACTGATTACTTCAGTTTTTTCTAATATGGCCAAAACAACACCTATAATACAAAACATCAATTTAAATAATGAAAGAGGATAATGATAGAACGTGTCTGTTTAAACTAGTGTGATCACGTTTTGGTGAATCAAGTCAAAATATTACTAGTTGTAATTTCCGACTATTATCTCAAGAATAGATAAGAAATTTATTATTACAAACCTTGAGAGGCCAAGATAGCAAAAGATTTGACAATACTACGTAAACTAGAATTGTAAGATGAATCCATAAAGTCTTACAAGATATATAAATGAGAATACCAGGTGATCATATATGACCCTCAGTACTCCAGCTCATCAACAAGCTTAAGATGCTCAAATTGTACATATTTAAATAAAAGATGTCACATACCTTGCCAGAATGACAAGAAGATGGTTGATTTAATGATACAGAATTTGAGAACTGGTTCATAAGCACTCAGTAAGTCCTTGGTAGCAAAGTAGAATAACAGTAATCCATAGAGAGCCAAACTGATAGAGAAGTTATAGATCACTGTAATATATAAGTAAGCTCCAGCAGGTCTGAAATATCAATTTCACAATTTTCATTTTACAATCACACAGTTTATTGACAAAAGTGGCTTTATATTGGTTTTCCTGTTTTTTTTTTTCATATATGGATCAAAAGGCTAACAATTTAAAACTTTATTTGGTAACAAGGTCTAACAAATTCAAAGTGGGGAGAAGGGTGTGGCTCAGCAAGTCAGAGGCTTGTTCACTAATATTGTCCAGGGTTTGATACCTGCATACTGTCAGACATTGAAACTGTTTGACTGTGACACCATGTGCTTTAGTTGTGTATATCATATATCTCTGAAAAGAGTCAGCTAAAACTAGAGCAGAGGAGTTTGATGTGAAACTTTATTTTATTTCAGTTTTCAAAACTTTGCAGTTAATTAGGAAACAGGAGAATAAGTTACTTACGAGAAGTTGCCATCTTTATAATAACCAAAAGCTTGTAAGATAAGAGTCAGTATAGCCATGACTGGTTTAATGATACAGAATTGTAGAGTTGCCTAAAATATAACCAATCATCATTAATCAACATAACAATGGTACAGTTTCTGTCCAATGTCAGTGCCACAGAAAAATAATTCTTTTTACCCACCCTGGGACTTAAAAAGAATTGAGAAGTGGTAAAAAGACAAGACACTATTCTCACTCTTGAGACAAAAGTTCTGGTAGTCTGACATAAACTCAACAATATATAACAAGAAGACAATTTACCTGTTTACAAAATCTTAAGAAACCAATGGTATATTGTCCACCAGATAGACAGCATGTACACCAAAACCAACTTGATCTACAACACAAAATACAAGTTTATACTAAATATTGGTAATATTTCTAGTTTGAATTTACAAATCTTTTACGTTGTGTCAGAACAAAGTCAACTTCACTAAAACAGATTTGTTGAATGTCAGTAATAGCTGGAAAAGAATACAAACTCTCAATAATTATAATTGGAAATTCTCTCTGTTTTAAGTCCCGATTCATCTAGCATTCTGTTTTGGTACAAGTTAAAATTCTTTATGGACCCAACAGCCTTTCTATTGGAACCATCAGAAACCACATAAGAAGATTATAGGTCAGCTCAAAAGAACAAGACATATGTCAACCAAACGTTGATTTTTATTCCATAAAATACATACGCTCGATATCTGAGAGGATAGTCCTACAAAAATCTCAACAATATCAGTCATTAAGACAATCGAAAAGTTCGGACAAATATTCAGAGTGAATTTATTCCCATGTTGTTAAATTATTTCTGATAAATGTCAAATGTAATCTTTTACTTCCTTGTTGTCAAAGTATTGATAAATTCTAACATGCAATTCTCAGTAGGCAGTCTTTCTTCTTGTGTTCATTAACTTTCTAATCCTATTTATTCATTGAAATTCTGTTTATTCCATTACCATTGTATAATGTATCATATGGTTAAGCTTTAAGTCACATCAAATAGACAAATTTGAATCTGTCTCGGTAGGTAATAAGTGGTAGATTTCTTTGTTGTACGAGCTGTCATACAATATGATATGTTGCAGAGTGCTAGAGAAAGTTTTACAGAAGAACCTTTGGATGTTTACGTGTCAACTAGCATAGCTAGACAACATATCTGTAAGTGAGAGTGGAATAATCAGTGGCGAGATGGATTGTCTTCTGCAAGACATATATGTGTCAGAGGATCAAGTTCCATCAAGTATGAACAATTTCTAATACTAGAATCAACACTTCTGACAGTCAACAAAAAGTGTATTCCACCCTTTAAAATTACAACATAGATTTTTCATGTCATTTAATGATTAGAAACTTCCTACAGAATGACAAATTGTAATATGTATTAAAAATTTGTCTAGTGATTTGAAATGAGTTGATGTGTTTTTGATGTATAAAAGATCAATAAGTAACATGTAACAGGACTCAGTTTGTAATTAAATTGCTTTCTTCTGTAGTGTCTATCCATGATAAATAATGAGAAAACAAGAGAATCCCTTAAGATGACTTACTTGATTGGTTTGCCTCGGATTTCAGCCATAATGGAACCTTCTCCTCCAAGATATTCATAACATAAACTAAGAAAACTGTAGATGACAAAGGCTGAAATGATATCATGAAGAAATTGAAATTCTGAAAAACACAACTTGAATATATTTTCAATGGAATCACTGAAACATTTCCCTTGAGTAAAATAGTCCTTTCTAAGGCAGCTTCATGATTTGGATAAGAGATTAAATAATTAATGATATTTATGAAAATTACAACCGTAGTGATTTTAATGAATAATCCTGATTCAGATAAAAAGTTATCTAGGAATTAGATATAAGTTGAATTAGACTTGAGCAAAGTTGATGAATGAATAAGCAGAATGTGAAAGTTGTATATACATTGAATAAATTTGGATAAAATGGACACAAGTTGCTTATAAATTGGAAGAAATTTCTGTAAAATCAGAAGAAATTTTTGTATGAATTGAATAAAATTTTAGCTTAAATACTCAAAATATTTTTCGTCAACAAGGGGTACGCATTATATATGGGTAAATGGATTTTTCCAGATTTTCATGGGGTAAGGAAGGGATGTGCATTATACACGCTTGCGCATTATATTTGGAAATATACGGTAGAAGAAATTTCTTTATGAATAATAGAGTTAAACAAGATTAAATATGAATGAATAAAAGAGGAAGTAGATGACAGTTAATTAATATAGAAATACCACCTGTCAACTAAATATGGCAATCAATAGTATAAAACATGATATTGTTTACATCAGGATATATACACAATTTATATTCTATACACAGGATAGAGACATGTGTTGCATTCATGTCTTCTATTACAGTTTTGTATATGACTCAATTTACAATTTCGATTACTAGATTTTGTTAATGATTTTCTATATACATGATATAGTAATGTATTTAATATGTGTTTTATTGCAATCATTAATTATAACTTCAGACTGCATTATAATGTTTTTATTTAACTCTGTATAAGATATATAACTACTTACATACAGATAGATTATAATAAACCACTCTAAATTTAAATAGGTATATCATAATATATATCTTATTACTTGTATACAAAAGCATAAATTTGGTAGGGGACTGTCACCAAGTCCGTTAGATAGAAGTCATTATGAATGCCATACATACAATTACAATATATTGTAATATTTTAAATGGCATAAAAATCTGAAAACCTACTTACCCTCATAACAGTCTCTAACACTGTCAAAATACACATAAAAATTATCATTGTTAAAAAACATGAGACTTAGAAAGGAATCGAAGGAATATATTGGTACTATAAATAATACACGAACTATCCATCTTTGTTCATTAGGACATGTATAATAACGTAGGTGAAGATATATCTGAAATTATACAAGAATACATAATGATAAGTACAGTATCGCAGGATTTCATGTTCCATCTAATTTACAAAATAATGCTGACACAGCCGAAAAAGATTCATTTTGTTTCATTAACACAAAAATATACAGGGTCAGGTGATATTTAAATGAAATGAAATGAATGGAGTTTGACTCCCTACTGTTCTACACCTAGCTGAAATCTAAGATCTATGCAGTCTCTTTTGAATAAAAGTAATAACTCCTCATTCTAGCACTCATCAATACCATAGCAGACTAAATATTATCCAAAGTGAGTTATTGTGTTCACAATAAACTATCAAGTCAACATTTGACACATTCATCAGAGTTAAAAAAGACCATTTACATCTCTAAAAAATACAATAAGAAAATATTTTCACTGTTCAAATAGTGCTCAATATACACCAATGAAATAAAAATATTAAAATAGAATATAATACATAGTTGGAGAAATCAAAGAGTTAAAATTTTCATTAAATTGATTTAGTGGTCTTATGGATTTTGACTTGGATAATAATATATATGTGTGCTAATTTTTTTCCGTGTGATTTCTACAAACCATGGAATTTCTGAATATTGTAATGACTGTCTTTAAATCAAACTGACTCTTCACACTACAGGAGTTAAATGAAGCCAATGAAAGTGACTGAGAAAAATGACAGGAATTTCAAATACCATCACAGTTAATGACAATTTTTCCTGGTTCCATAAGAAGTGAAGACTAACAGACACGAATTAATAATATAACAAGATGGAAGTTGGAAGACATGATGAAACTAATCAAGAAAGTAATTGAATTAAGTAAAGGTTAAATCCTACTCCTATGGCATTAAGGAAACCTGACCTCAAGGACTTCTTAGGCTTATTTGTATTATGTCCATAGAGTCATTATTAAGTCTACTAATTTCTTTCCAAGGAAAACTATGTATAACTTATGTTTCTTTTAACCTCAAATCGTCAAGCTGTTTATTATTCTTTATGTATGTACAATCGTGATATCTAGGCGAATTTTGTGACTTTGTGACAATGAAATATTGGTAGTATAGCCCTCAGTAAAGGGGTCAAAACTGACTTGTACAGACATTTTCATTCTATAATAGATAATAAATTTCAATGATGATAAACATCACTGATATATGAGTCAGTCAACCTCTCAGCTTTATTTTTAGACCAAATAGATTCCAAAAAAGAATACAGGATGATTCTTAACGGAAGAGATTGTCAGCATGTAAAACTGCACCATAAATTATCAGTGTTAAATGATGTTTAATCAAAGGACATTCTAAATGATACTTTTCTCATGAATTTATAAGTTTATGAATAGACGTAAATAATACTTGTTATAAATAGACAGATGATGTATCATTAAATCACATCTTTATTTCATACTGTGAACTGTGAATGTCACTTATCTGTAAATCACACCATCAATATCTTCTCTCTTGACTTGACACTGGATAAAATAACTTAATAAATCATCAACATTACTGTTTAACTAAGTTTTATACCAACTCTCTGGTCATAGTGACACAGAATATTTAATCCCTATATGTTGAACAACAAAATCTCAAACATATTCATATGTTAACACTATTAAAATCATATTCTTGGTAATAAAACCATTATTACATTTAGTGTCTAAGATGAGATGAAGGGAAAATATAATCATCTCAATATTTCATGACACTTTATGGGAAGAAAAGCTGATAGAAAGCCAAGATTGAGGTAAACCAGCTTTTAAAAAACTTCCAGTCATATTGCATATTCACATGACACATACAGATATGCATAGTTTGAGGCCATCTTTTGGATCATTTACATATATTTTGATATCAACTAGATAGTATTAACCAATTGAAGGTCTAAAACTGGTTATGACAATATTCTAGAGAATATCTCTATGTAAAAATTGTGTAGTTTATTTCAATACACCCTCATATTTTGGGGTTTTGACAGTTTAAAATATTTGACTATCTATAAAGATAAACTGACAATTTTAACTCCACCTCTGACAAACAATTAGAAACATGTTGAACATTTTTTCTTCTTTACAAATCAAAGTTTTAGCAATAGAAACTGATCAATAAATTTGATGTATGTCAAGTCAATGCTAAAAGATAAATGCTAGTTCCATCAAATCGCTGAAATGAAGTGGAAAATTAATTTTCTTCACACACTACAGTAATGTCATCTGTCTTGATTTACTGTACAGATTACAAGCAAGTTGGTATAGAACTTCATAATGGCAAAAGTTAGTTTATTATCAAATGTGTATGTTGTTTAATTTACAAAATATTAAGGTGTCTGGTCCAATCTAAATTTGCTGATTTGATTTAGAGCAACGAAGCCTGGATGTGCAACTAGATCATACTGCAATTGTTAGTGCAACCTAATCAACACAATAAGTAAGGATAAGTTTCAGCAAATTTCAGAGAAGAACTTGATTAAGAACAAAGAATAAGGCACCTATAAAACAGGTGTATCACCAGAAATAGTCCTGGTTATGTAATGTGATTAGTCAGGTTAGAGTATACAATGGTACAAATTTGAAATTGTTTATCTTAAAATACACATGTAACAATACAATATACTAAACCTAACCAACTTATACTGTCGTAAGCAATTCACTGTCTTTAAAAGATTTGTTTTAAATGACAAGTAATTTAAAAAAGATCTTAAATCTGAAATTAGATCTTTCAAATAAACTTGTAGGAACTAACTTTTTTCTTACAACTTGAACAAAAAAATAGTAATACAAAACTTGTCATTACCACTCAACATATTGGATTTGAAAATCAGACTAGATAGCTGTATATCTCCTGAGAATTAGATATAACATTACAAAAATCTGTGTTCTATATAAATTGATACAATATTGAGATCTATAATCATACAATAATAACTTGTGTATAGATCTATTGTTATTGATACATTAATATAAATCAATATATATGTATAAGATATTAATGTTTCCCCACTATAAGACTATGAAAGTAATTTGATGACCAAGCTTTTATATGAAGTTCAGTGAAAGGAACAGATTTTCAACAGCCTATGAAATTAAAAGAATATATTCTTTCAAAATTGAAGATATGCTGGAAACAAAGCCTCACAGACTTTGCGAAGGATTACTCTGTTACTCATTTTTGAACCTTTTTGTCGTTTTTACTTATGTGTCATGGTCCAAAAAACTTTGGAAACGAACCAACCAATCTCATATGTACCAAGAGAAAGTCCATGGGTCATACTGAACTGTGCTTGAATCACTTGAGCATTTCCTTGTTTTGGAAAGAGTTGACAAATTTATTTCTTTCAACTGCTAAAAATATTGCATTTGGACCTATTAAGAAAACATAGTACAACCTAAAATCCCGTAAGTACTTGGAAAGTTAAACTGCACATCATACTATAAAAGTCAAGAAATTGTGGTACCTTGTTGATATGCAATTGGTATGGAATTTACATAAATGAAATATATTGAAAGAAATTGCTTTAAGACATGATAAGTCAACCTAAGACTTAAGTATACAATAAGAATTCTGGTAACCTTTAAATTTCTAAGACAGTCTTGGCAGAGAAACACTGTAAATCACTGTAAATGGTTAATCCATTATAATGTCTCCTGATAAAATTAACAGACAAGACTATCGAATTCTCCTTAATATAGATTTACACATTAACAAAATATTACTTCAGCCCATATATAGAAGTACAGCACATTCTGCTAATAACTTGATACTCAAATTACAAACTTCATCTCATGTCTATCATCCATTTTACTTTGTCAATATTCTAAACCCTCTTTATGACATATTTCTGATGAGTTTCCAAGGTGATTAAACTTGATGTGTTTTCTGTATTTATTATTTCTAACACAATTCTATAGCATTATCAACACTTAACTAGATATATATCCAACAGTATAACATCAAGTTCCAAAGAAGAGGTGGTAGGGGTTGAAAGCTGACACCAGGCTTACCCTTTAATAAGAACTAGCCCTGCCATCAGAATGTCAGACTCTAATTTGATACTGCTTCTATGGGACAGGTTCGCCATCCATTTGACCTATAGCAACTTAGTTTCAGAAACAGGATTGTGTTTTAGCTAAGCTAAATGTTCACAGCTGACCGTCGAAATTTGAACCTTCAAATAATTGTGTGTCTAAAATTATCTGTGTTTGAAAGTTAAAAAGACGACTTGTATTATCTTGAGGCTCTGGGTATGAGACTATAATTAACTATGCAAAGACTAGCTACTCGTATCATGGCAGGGTATTATTGGCAATAGGTAAGATTTGGAAGGCTCAGGTCATGAAAAGAAACAACTTTTTCTCAACTGACCTGGATCTATAAAGAGTTGCCTTGTTCAGTAATGACAATGCAAAGTGATTGTCAGTGTGTATAAATCAATGTGCTTGTAAAGGACAATAAAACAATAATCTATAATCAACCAGCTGTATATAGAAATATTGTATTGACAGAATGGTGAATCTTCAAGTCATTGCTAAGAACTGCTTCCTTAATTGTCAACTCCACTCTGTAGTTTTAGAATCTATTCTGGAGTTCATTCTCATCACATTCTTACTGCTCCACTATAATCACATCTCATATATCTTAAACAACCTTCTTATACAACACATCAATAACATAAGATTAAATGATGTTTTTTTTTTTTACATCAAGCAAAAATTATTCAAAAGGCTACTATCATGCAATGTTAATATTAATGTTCATTTCCTTGTTTACAATAAAAAATAAGACTTATTGCACACTTTGATCAGATTCAAGTTGGCCATTAAGAGAGAACATCATTATGTCATTGACAACAACCGTACATGAGTTCTATTGGGTTTTCAGAAAAGATGTCTTAAAGCAGAAAAAAAGCCATTGAATGAGGTTATAAGAAATTATCAAACATAAGATTTAATACCATTCAACTCTTTTCCAGTATCATTTGACATTAAGTTTTTTTTTTACTGTCATTGAAAATGGATTGCAAATTGTCAGGTGACAAGTAACATGGTCATTGAAACAGTAAATTATTATCCACACACGACATTTTATGGTAGTCATTGTAATAAAGCAGTTCATTTAGGAACGAATGTGAATCTTGTTATAGTGAAAAAACTCTGATTATCATGTGACAAGATAGATGACCCGGCAATATGGATCATGTACATCTTGTATATAAGCATCATTTATTTAGTGAACCCACATTCATTCCTTATATTTATATTGATCAAATATTACTTTTAAATTCTCTAGAATTTCCTGTTTTGAAACTGTAAAAATACAATGTAATCAGTTGTTGCTTCCAAATTAAACCAGTCAATCAATTGTATCATTCTGCCCTGCACTATATACTTCTATAGTCTATACATAATTACAAAGGCAGGTCTTTCATTTTTTAGCGTCTTTTGGGTCATAATGATGTCTGTGATTGATGGATCTGTAGAGCAATCACTGGTTCTGTAGACATATGTATTGAACTGGTAAAATATATATATTCAAAATATTTATGATGTTGCTATGTTTTATGCACTACATACTATAAGAAGCTTTTAAAATCAATTTTTTAATAGTTCAAAAAAAAATTCACTGGTTTTCACATGTTATGTCATGAAATAAGATTCTTTTATCAATATGAACCAACATTCCCAACCATGGTTGATGATGGAATTCACTCTTGAAATTGTTGTTGTCAATGACAGAAAAAGAGATGTTCTCTCCAAATGGATAGCTTTAATCTTATGGAAGTGTTGTAAACAAGGAATAATCCAGCAATCTAATGCAGATGGAACTCATACTTTAGTAGAGCAAAGGCATTTTTGGACATCCAAGTCTTATTCAAATTATAAACAGGAGCAGTCCACTTTTTTAAGAGGTGGAACAGACATACATATTGATTATTTACATTTAAAGCCTCTTATGTTTACTTTGGTCAGTAGAGACACTATTCTGAACCTGTGTTATTACTGCTGGTCATCTAATGTTAATTATAGATTGTAAGCTATGTCATTGTTAAGTATTTCTGACAATAGATTCTCTTCTGATAGAAATAATGAAATAACAGCACACAATACTGGTCGGTGCTATATATGGTAGTAGTAGATGGTATTTAGAATGTAAACGTGACTGTATTATCAATCTATCTGACAATATATTCTGTCCTAGCTTAACTTGCTAATGACATCAACACTTCAATTTCTACATCCTCTATTGTTCATATGTAGAAGACATTTCTGACAAAAATTCAAATCATGAAGTTATAGCTTTCATCTTAAGGACAATGTCCCATATAACTTCATTTGACAAAACAATCCATCACATAAATTTTAATAATATAGTTTGCCACCTCTATAGTTATTTAATCATTTATGTGATGATTGAGCTCAATTTTTGAAATAAACTTTGGGTCTGAATCTGAAAACATTTTATCTCTTAGCATATAGCTTGAGTGATGCGCACTTGTTCATTCGCCATAAATGACCAAAATCTTAAATAAATTTACCTGCACACGAAAGCTATCACCTAAAGGAGAAGTGCACAAATGAATTCTACCTAAGCTGATGGCTCGTGTACGCGCCACACTTCATACACATTCTCAACACTGTGGATATTATAGATGACATAATAATATCTATATGAGCTCAGGTTCATAACAGACTGGCAACACAAGTCTGTCAACAGCATTATATTTTCATTCAATTGTAAATGAAATGAACTGAAAGTCATAAAGATAGTTAAGACAATCATAACACCATCAATATTATGATCTATCAAATGTGTGTTGTGGAATTTGAATCATTCTGGAAACTGAAAGGAAATTTATAAACCAGGAACATTACTTGATAAAACCAGTCAATAGCTGTCAAGGACTTTACAATCACATCAATTAGTTATTCAAATGTTACCATCATAAAATTTTGCTTTTAAAACAGGCATGGCTTTGTGTGAATCAATACACTACCAGAATGGGAAATGAAAAAAAAGTGAAAAAAAAAGAAGTGTTTTACCCTCATGGGAGCAACAAAAAACTTGAATCACAGACAACTTTTATCACTAATCTTAATAGCATTTCTTTACCTTTCATTCAATATTAATATACTCACACTTTATTCAATACTATTCTGACAAATACAAATGGATTTCATTACTTCTGAAAAGGTCAATTTAGAAGCTGATTTTGATGTCCATAGAATTTAACTTACAAATAACAATGGACATTTATTGGGCTTTCAGCATTCAATATCTCCAAGAAAACATTAAAACAAAATGACCATCATAACTAGAACTCAATAAAGAAAAAAAAGGTTCGTACTCGTAAGCTGTTTGGAAACTTGGAAAATCTCACACAGACATTCTACAATTCAATGTAACTTTGAATGTTTCTCAATTGACATGATACACATGCATCAAGAATTTAAACTTCATATCCAATCTAAACACCAAGTTATTGTCCTAATTGGGACAATTACAGAACCCTTTGTAAATAGTATTATGTACATACCTGATGAACTGTAATTAAGATAGCAGCTACAGCAAAAGTTCCAGCTATACCTTGAGCTGCTTTAGTTTGTAAGAATATTAATGGTACTTGTGGTAATGATATATTGGAGATATTAGGATCTTGTGAAGATAGTGTAGATATAGGTAATGATGTAATTAATGAAGATGAGTGCACAGTTGTAGTTATGGTAGTACTTCCATTAGGTGACAGTACCCCAGCACTGGTATCATTACCAGACATCTACAAAAGAAAATGTTAATACATATTTTTCTAATAAGGCACTGATAATTTTGTGATAAAAATTGATTAAATGATAAAACTTCTTGAGGCATCAGACAAAATTACACTATAAAGTACCAGAAGTTTTTTAATTACTTATTGAAATCAATAAAGATATATCAAAAATTATACTTTGAATAAAATAAAGAGAGTTTTTTTTATAATAAAATGTGACTTTAAAGAGACAGTGTTCCTCAATTTACAAATTTTATTTTTAAATATTTAGTAAAGGTACAGCCTATGGGGAAAATTTTTTTAAAACTTAAGGTACCGGTACAATGGTTATATGGAAAAACCATAATTCATTTCACAAGATTTAAATGAACAAAAAAAAAAAACCCATGCATTGTTGAAAGGTGAGAGAGATTTGGTCACTATTCCTATTTTTATGGATCTGGCATGCGCTCTCTCCAAACTCACAAAGACATTCATGAAGTGTCATCTTAGAGCTGTCCTTTCTGTAAAACATATCTTCTTTGCAAAAACCCTATAAAAATTTATATACTAAAGCAACCAAGCAAATTTTCCTGATTTATACAAATAACCTTAAATCAATGTTTCATATTGTTCGGTAAGTATGTAATATACCTATATATTATCAGTCTGAACTATATTATATAACCTAATAGAGACAAGTGATTATAATAATAAGTACTAATTACACACCAATTACATCTATTCTTACATCTTTATCATTCTTATCATTATATCAACCTAAACTAACTTATATACATAACAATTACAATATCACTTATGGTAGATAGTAAACACTTTAGAGTGAAATAGCTAAGTAAGGAAAAGAGTCTTGTAAAAAAGTAAAAAATAATCTTTAATTTTTCTCCTTTTTAACAACAGTGGTAAATATACCAAGAAACAAAATTAATCTAAAGCATTCACTAAATATTTTCTTTCTTTATATTTCCTTTTTACCTTCATCAAAGTCTGTGACTTCAGATATGAAAACCTAGCATCTAAGTCTCTTTCAAGATACCTTTAAGTGTCTTTTTTTTTACACCTTCATTGCCATTAGCATTATTAGATAATACTACTAAACTGCAATAAATTTTTAATCCGTACTACTTTTGATATGGCTTTACCTTTTGACTTAATAAGTCACTTTTGAGGTCGTGATTATCATATTTAACAATCATCAGATGACTAACTGATAGGTAAATGATCAAGAGAGAGTCAATAGAGTAATCAAATAAGGTGTGACATACAATATACAGTTATTGATATACAAACAAAATTTAAGCTAATTTTTTAGTAATATCATAGATATGTTCATAAAGAAAAAAAAAAATAAAGATAAAAAGATAAAGATTTAAAGATTTGATTCTGCTCTCCATCACCAATCTCCATGTACTTGAATTTCCTTGATCATTTCACATAAATCAAAAGAATTAATTAATCCTACCAGAAACTGGGACCAATTATTATAATTTTTGTTGTCATACGTTACAATACCTTATATGTTATCATAAAAAAATTCGACTATCTAGTGATATTTTATAAGTACCACACATTAGAAACTCTGAACCATTATGAAAACTTCAATTTCACAATATTATTATAGCTTATAAAGGCAAAACTGAATTTCTGCACAAATTTACATATTTTGTCACTTATCTTTATGTTTAAGATTTTTAGTTTTTATAATCATAGAGATGAAATTCAAGAGATTTATAATTGATATTTCACTTTCTGATATTTTTAAATAGGTTATTCATTTTCAATAATTTAAAAAAAGGATAGGCCTATTTTATAGGAGGACAGGAAAAATTGTACTGCCATTTCACATTTAGAATAAATAAAAGCAAACTTTGGATGATTAAAAAGAAAAATGCAACAACTACTATGTTTTGTTGTGACACTGACTAACTGACAGATTCAACTCTGGCTATCTCAATCTGCTTGCAGGAATGTCAGAAGGCAGGTTATTCCAATCCAAACATATGTCGCTTCCTTGAGGAAAGAAATATAAATAGTATTCACAACAGAATGGACAGATTACTTACTTTCGATTCTCTTCTCTCAACGGATGATTATAGTCACATGTTTTCAAATCATATCAAATTAAATCGTTGAATAATTATTTGTATGCACTTTTCACTCTATCCTTAAAATGGCGATAGCCGGATGTGACGGCAGGGCACCTGACAGATGACGTCATATTTATTTGTAAACAAAACCGACATGCTTATAATATTTGAGTAGTTTTTATGTTTTTGTGTGATCAGGCACATTTATTCTACACATTATATGATTTAAATATAAGAATTGAAACAAAGAATACTTGCCAACATATATACTCCTAAAAGGCGACACGTTATAACCTTCAGAAACAATAATTATCAAAATGATTTAATCAGGAGTTAATTCCCCTTACCAAGTCTTTAGTGAAAGAAACGATAATCTTGGAAATCGCGGGAATTCTATTGCTCTGTTTTCCCTAACTGATACTGTTAAAGATCTTATACATAAAAACGCACAAGATGCAGAAGGCTATTACGTAAGTTTTATTATGTGGTAAAACTTTAACTAAAATTGACAATGTTTTTGCGAATAAAACAAAGGTCAAAAAAGGGGGTTAGATTAAGTCATGAAGTAAATAGCCTATTCCTATTATGACTTTTAAGAGGTTTGTTAGCATTTTATGTTTATTCGGCATTGTCAATGCATCATCCCAATTTCTTTGGTTCCTGTAGGCTAATTAAAGAAATGCTTAAATGGACAGGTGCGGCATTTTTTAGTGTTGATATAAGCCTTCAATACAGTGGTGTAACCGATATTCGTGCATGTAAGAATTCCACACCAAATTGTGTCAAAATTTAAAAACGCAAATTTATTTTTTTATGTCTTACTTAGTCAAGAAAAACACGATGTATTGATACCACTTCTATTGATACCCAGTGGTCATCGGGTCCAAACCACACCCCCATTCGTCATACTTCCTCAGGGCTGTGGTAACATGTGAGAAAAAAATGATGTATTCATAGCTAAATATTGTCCAATCAAAATTGGTCCTACTGTATTGGTAGCAAATTTCAGCCAATCAAAACAAATCACTCGTTATGACGCTTTGTTTGCGAATGTAATACAGGTTAATAAGACCATGTCAAAACCCGTATTTTTGATTCGATGAACAGTGGTATATTTAACTTCTCTTAGTATTTATCTTTAATATCCATTCATTATAACTAATGACAATTCCTTCAAAGAACAGTGATTTAAAAAAAAAATAGTGACTGATAAAATAAAGTAAAACGTAAGAGTCATAGAAACAACATAAGAATATAGGTTTACACCACTTTGAAATTTGGTGTATTTTAAAGTTGAAATTCTTGTTGATAGAGTTTCTGACATCAAGATATCTTCTGTTGCAGCTGTGCAGGATAATTGAGTCTACTGTATACACATGTCTAAATGAATTGCACAATGTTAAAAAGATACCCAGTCGACATGCAATTGAAAATTATGGGTTCAAGTCTACACTATTAGGAAAAACTTTGGTGTACAGCCTAAATCTACACTCTTGATTTTTGTCATTTCTCACATACCTAGTATACAACTTCTAAAGTAGAATATTTGAATTTCAAATGCATGTCACAAAAATGTCTTTATATCCTTCGAAATGTAAGGTTATGTGTTTGTTTCCCTCCTAGATATCATTAGATATAAAAAATATTGTATTTTTGTATCAAAATATGCATTTTATGTTACTTTATGAAATGCACAATGATAAGATAAAGACAAGAGATTTGAGGAAATCCAACATTAATTTCAAAATTTGCTATCATAGATAAATGATCATAACTAAAATAAATGATGAAACGGTTGCAGATGAATTTACATTGCATTAGTTTGTGGTCCAAGGGAGATAATGATAATTACTTCCCATTAATACCTGAAGTTTTCCCTCTGACTATCTACAGAAACACAAATAAGCTATGGTTATTTCATTATATAACTTCAGGAGATGTTTAACAATTGTCAGGATTTTCCCTTCAAGATGTTTTTGGTGGGATAATATACATAGAACATATGGCCCTGTTAACAAGACCTTTCCTTATTCTAACCTTGCTCTCCAGTTTAACTGTCAAAGGTCTCTGTTATTCATTATTTTGCGATTGCAACTATCTTAAAAAATATGAAAAAAGGTTATTTAATTGATTGTTAGAATAAGAAAGTATACAAAATAAAAAAAAATTGCTGTTTATACTACACATTTATTTATACTTCTTTAAATGTTTTGTTCTCTATTTTGTTTTGCAGGTCCTTTTTTACCAAGGGTGCAGCTCCTGCATCTAAAAAAGATTCGTAAGTAATATTTTTTTTACATAGTTTGTTTTTGTGTACTGGTATGTTAAAATTTAGCCAACAAATAAATAGTGTTGAAATTGACCTGATTTACAAAGTATTTTAGATCCCATATATTGAAAGTTTATTGAACAGGACATTTGAAAAAAAAAACTTTTGGGAAAAACAAATAAAAAGGAAAATGTACCTGTTATGATGTAATTTCTTTGTAGTCCGGAGAAGACCCCATTAAGAGTGAAAAATAATTCACCAAAGAAAACTGATAGTCCAGTCAAAAATGACATTGATTCACCAATTAAAGTTCGAAGTAAAAAGAAATCACGAGTCATTGAAAGTGATGAAGAGGAAGAAAATGAAGTCAATCTTGATGAAAATACCAAATCTGAAGAAATTAAAACAGAAAAAGAAATGAAACCAAATGACTCAGTGAAAGACAAGAAAGATGATGCAGTTAAAAGTACACCCAAAGCAAAAGATAAATCTGAAGTCAACACTATTAAGGTATTATATATTTATTGCATTGTAAAGACAAATGATGAATTGGCTGTATTCTCGTGATAAGGAATTTTTCATTCAGTTTTTTATCTGTAGTGATTCATGCCATGGGGTTAATATTTCTTGCACTTATTCAGTGAGTTCATTATCTCTTCTCTATACCTTAAAGGAGCACCTTCACTATCCGTTCGACTAATCATACCTTAGTTTCAGACACAGGATTTTTGTTAGCTTACATAATCAGTAATAGTGTTCACAGCTCATCAGCGAAATTTGAGCCTTCAAATCCATGTGTATCCATAATTATTAACATTTGGAAGTTAAAATTTTTTCTCCAAATTTAGTGAGACTATGCCATATATAGAAATATATAGACAGTGTAATTTCTAGTTTGAGGTATATTTTTCATGCATTTTGGTACTTCTTAACACTATTAAAGCACATTCATCAATGTCAATTCACCCATATCAATCCCCTAGAATGATGAGTGTTCCACTTTTTAAAAAGTCCATCATCCACAAATCGGATGTCCAATGAGGATTTCAAAGAGCAAATGAAACACATTGTGTAGCTTGAAATGAGATATTGTCAAATATATTAAATTGTTATGTTATCTACTATCTGTAGGAAGAAGAAGCTTCACCATTAAAGTCACCAGGTGGATTTCCAATAAGAAAAACAGGTGAAGTCTATAGATTGATATTTTTTTGCTAGAATATTAATTTAACAACAATTGCAATAGATTTATTGTCTTGGTATAAGGGAACATAATTTGGAGAATGTGAAGGTTTGAAAACTATATATTTTACCCTTTAATGAATAGACGTCCCCCAATTGTAAATTCCTTTGTAAAAACTGGTGTTCTTTTATTACTGCTTTTTGAAGATATTTTTATCAAAAGATTGATAATGTAAAGTTGTTTAATTTAAGCCCGTAAGAGTATGGGAATGGGTAGTGCTGTAAAGAGAAAAAGTTTGGCTGATTCAAGTCCCAAGGCATCTGATATACAAAGTCCAGCTAAACGTAGAAAATCAGAAACACCAGTCCAATCAGAATGCTTAGAAGACAAAGATGATTTAGGTATCAAGCCATTACCCTGTGATGATGTAGAAATGAAGGTATGTGGAAGACACAGTTAACATATTTTGGATTTTGGATTCAGTTGATAAGGAAACAAATAAATAACACCAATTTCAATATATATAGATGATTTATAATACATTGAATAATTACTACCTATATTCTACACAATTATTGTAATACTATTTCTATGTTTTTAGGAAGATATTAAAGAGGATGAAGAAGTAAAGAAAATAAAAGATGAAGAAGAAATAGGTAAATGATTGTTATTCATTATTATAGACTAAATTTTTTCTGAATTTCACTTTAGATGTTCATCTAGAACTACTAATATATATAACCCTTTAACAATATAATCACAGCCCAATTTAAGATGTTCCATTAAGTTGTATGCTTCTTTGCTAACCACATGTTTAATCTTGGCAGAGGCAGAGGTTGCTTGTCAGAGATGGATAAAAAAGAGTGTTTAAGTCTCTGCATGTTAAAGATCTGAAATCTAAAAAGACTATTAATTATTGCACTCTGCAGGATGTTGCCATTGTCATTACTTTTGTATAGTCAATATGTAGAATATGATAGCATTAAGCTTTCACTCTTAACACAATTATTGAATTGCTAAATCTATTATGGTGGCATTTTTTGTATACAGATGAGAAGCCTAAAAAATCACAAAAAACTAAGAAAACTCCTGACAGTAAGAAGACAAAATCTTCAAAATCCAGTGAAAGTAAAAATAAACCTGTTCATGATTTCTTTTGTAAGTAATAGTTATGTTCTATATATCTTTATTTTCTTAACATAAATCAAACTCAATCAATATAACTCAAGGTTAATGGTTGTCACTGTACCGAAAGATGACTTATTCACCAGACAGCCAACCAACATCTTATTCATACCACTTATATCTTAAGTTTTGACTATGAATTGATATTTCACGGTTATGATGTGCTTTATTTCATCTCACTTTCATTTTAAGTCTTTAATGATATCATTTCAGCTCCTAAAGTAAAGAAGGAAGTCAAGAAAGAGCAGATTACTCCAGAGAGTAAGAAGAAAAGTCCTAAAAAGGAGCCCAAAAGTCCAGAAAAAATCAAGAAAGAAGACAAGGCTGAGAAAATTACTAAAGACATAAAAAATGAAACAACAGATGAAGTTGACAGGTATATTCAATTACTTCCAATTAAAAACATATCTTGTTTTCATTAAGAAATATTTTTCAATCCTGTCAATAATGTGGAAAAAACATGGAAAAAGTTTGGATGGGACAATAAACAAAGGCCCTTTGTTCTGTAGGCTGTGCATATCAAAGATTCTTCCACAGATGGAAATTGAAAGAGAGCAGACAAATGTAAAAGCAAATTTCCCTCATTCTACACTGCATGACTTTGCCCATCTTCATTAGTCAAATTAGGTGCAGAAAAGTAGGACATAAACTCAATTCATTTCTGTAAGAAATACTGATAGGTGAATGCAACTGAGTTGGTCCAACATGTTGTCATAATGTGAAGGTCTAAATAAAATTTCTTCATGTTGAATTTGTACTGTAAGTTATAACTTTTCAAAATCATATAACATATTAGCTTTCTTAACCATTAAATAATACTATTTCTAACTCAAAATATCATTTGAAAATCTTGTCGACACCGTAGAGACTAGTTTATATCCGACCATGAAACTTGATTGATATTTGAATTTGGTGGACAATAAACACAGCTTATTTTCCAATATTTGCCTTGACAGTATTGGCATTTAATTTGAGAAATAAAATGATAATAGGTCATATGACAAGTAGTGTTGATTGATACATCGGAATAGGAATTAATATGATTAGTTATTGCCTGATTGAAAAATATTGTAGTATCGTTGTAGTTATCATGATATTGTCAAATTTTTCCATAGAAATTTTTATTTATTTAACATTCAAATGTTTTAGATAGAAAAAAATCACAAAATTTGTTTCAAAAACCATTAAAAACCACACCTATGCTTAATATTGGGATGTCCACTTGAACCAATATTGCTCAGCCCTAGTTAAAAGTCATAATATCTGCTGTGTGAAATTCAGTTTTATCAGAACCTTTCCATCTCAACATTATTTAAATCTAATCTGCCTGTCTCATTACCAGATTGCCATTTAGTCTTCCTTCTAGCCTTTTATTGAGCTTGTTAATAGAATTAAGTAGAGTTTAAGATGGAAGTGCGGGAACTCTTCAGATGTGTGTATTAAACTAGTCAGATTACTTAAATGTTTTGAATACTAACTACGTGGTAATGAGAAGATGTTTGTATGATACTAGCCTGTAGGTATAGCTGTGGTTTATACCAATTAATACTCTTTACTAAAAATAACCCCAGTCTGTGCCATTTTACCATTATTTTACTCTTGAACATCCTTCAAAATACCCTTTTATTCTGATTATTGGAAATAGATATTCTAGATATAGTAGATCTCTTTAATAGTTTAATGCTCCATCTTTGAGTGAATCACCAATCCAATTTGAAATTTCTGAACATTTCAGATACTATATGTATATATGAGACAATTTGTAGATGTGTATTTTTAAGTATGACCATTGCTTCACATTTAATAGGGATGGTAATAGCAAGTATACTTCTGATTAAAGTGGAGCTACAGTACATTCATGTTGCTTGTGATAAATTAGTTTTTTCCATACTATGATGTGACATACATGTGCTCTTTATATAACTATACCATATTTATGTTCAAGTCAATTTAGGATTAAAACAAAGTGGGGAATTGAAAGAATTTTATTATAAAAAACACTGAGCAAAATACATAAATATCGCTCTACAATTGATGTATTGAGAACTATTTTAACAGTGAAAATATTTTATTATTGAAACTTAAACCAGATATGTCTAAATTTTTCATTCAAAACTAACTTTCATTTACATAAAAGCTTATGTTTGCAAAATAAAAAGGAATACACACAAAAAGCAACAGAATAAATGCATGCATATGATGCTACACTTAAAAAATGAAAAATAGTGTGTTAAAATATGAGAGATGATGAAATAATGTAAGAAAATACAAACAATGCAAGAATGAATGAAATCATCATTACAGTTTGAGATGTTGAAATCAGTATAAATAATGTCTCAAGCAAACCAAATGACCTGTTTAAGAAAAAACAACGTGCCAATAGAAAAATTTACATTCTATTCAGTCTAATCACAACTGGAAAAAAAGAATTCTTATTTCTTTGTAAAATTTTTGTCTTGTTTCCTAGGATAACTACATGAAAATTTCACAGCTTTTTTTTTCTTTGTCCCAAACTGATAATTGATAATCAAGTCAAAATATGAAAATATGCAGCCGTAAGAGGCTGTATTTTTGAATCCATTCGATCAAAATTTTACTTAACTTATCAGATTATTGATGGAATTTGTTGTAACTGGTAAAAAAAAAACCCAAAAAAATAAAATCAAATGCCTTTCGGTCAAATTGTGTTTGTGATGTTTTCCAAATTCAAAAGTCTTTTATCAATGGATTATGAGTAATTGTATCAGTTCTCAAAAAGAATATGTCCAGCAAAAGAAGAGTAGTCATTCATCAAAGCTGAGTTAATACTCAGTTGTATCCAAACATGTTCATCAACTGTCAGTTCTAAGATTATGGTATTACTACCTGTACCATACCCGGCACGTCCATCACCATGTAATGGTAACTTATGGTTCTTATTCACCATGATCCAAGCATACGCATCAATTTTATTCTGGCCCAGTATATGTGTTGTAAAGATATAAGTCCCATTATGTTTACATATAAAATGTGATGTATAGGGATCAAAACTATCACCAAGATTGATATGGACGCGATCAAAAGTCACTGCTGTGTCTTGTAGCACAGGTCCAAGTTTTGTACTTCTACTAGCAGAGAAAGCTATTTTAGGTGGTCGACCTCCTGGTTCACCTTTTTCTCCTCTATCACCCTTACTACCAGGATAACCTCTGGTTCCCATATCACCCTTACTACCAGCTTTACCATGTGGACCATGTGGACCTTTAGATCCTTTACGTCCTCTCTCTCCTTTATTACCTGGAGGACCAAGTGGGCCTTGAATTCCTGGAAAGAAATTGTATGAAGTATCAGATGGCATCAGTTTTGTAAGGAAAAACTTGGTGTCTCTCTTTCGCTTTTTGTAAGTTTTTGAAGCCATTGAAAAGTCATTTTGAAATGTCACATTGACGTTTTATGGGATCAAAGTTGATGAATGTGTAGTTTCTCTGTGGACACTCAGTTGTACATAGAGAAAGTTTTTAAATTCTTCAACGTAATAAGCAATAGCTTACCTATAGGACCTTTAGTTCCTTTCTCTCCCTTTGAACCAATAGGTCCAGTCTGACCATCTATACCACGTGTTCCTGGTTGACCATGTAATCCTGGCATACCCTGGACACCTGGTATTCCACGACAACATTCATTACACTTAGTACTACCCTTACTGGAGTAATAGGGTTGTCCATCAATGATAATACACATATAGATCTGACACAATGATAATATAACTATTAATTTCTTTATTTCTTCCATAATACTTCCTACAAATAATAAAAAAAAAATGAATGCAAAACTCAAGTGTTTGTTAATCAAATCATTAATCAGAAAGTATAAACTTTCATCTGTGCAAAAAATCGAGTATTTAGAAAAAAAATGTCAAAATCAAGTGACAAAATTTAGCATGCTTAACTGTTTTAAAGATGCTATATTGTCAATAAGTAATGAAATGTTTCCAATGAATTTCTTTCTTCAAAGGAATTTAGTACTTTAAATGTTTTAGTCCCAGTGAAAAAAATGATTTCTATAATGTTTTGATAAGCATCGTAGACCAAAGTTTAAGAGCTTTTTGAAGGAAAAAAGATAAAAATATTGAAAAACAAAAATGTCATTAACTTTTTTTGAATATGATTCAGTGACCTAAAGATCCCATCAGATTTCAGAATAAGACGAAGATGATTTTATTTTAAACAGATTTCTTTATTAGTTTGAATTTGTGAACTTAATGAAGATAGCAAAAATAAATACCTTGAAATTAATATCCAGAATAATCCAATAGAAATAAGAAAAAAGTATTAAGTAAATCCAATAAAACAAATTGATAAACACAGATAGAAATAACCATATCCTTTCATAACAGAAACTTCTTTCTCTCTGCCACTTTAACAATCAATTATCACTCCCTTCATAGTCATAACAACGTGATGTGTCCAGCAGGAAAGTTTGGAACTAACTGTGAAAGGTTTCCGATAACAAGCTTCAAGTGCGCGACGCCTGATAAATGAGCTGTTGCCACTTGAATTGTTATTGAGTCGTTACACTTCAGCACTAATCTGTCCTGTCTTTAATGGGCTCACTTTGTTTGGAATACTAATGTTTATTTTCAACCATTAATCAGTGGCAAATTATTAATTAATTTTAAAATGAAATTAATGGCTTCCATTCTAAGACTTCATTAGATTATTTAAGATTTCAGTTATTTAAGATCATGATAACCTGAATTGATAAGTCTCAAGAATTTTGCATTATTATTGAAATATTGTAAGCTGAATTTCAAGAGTCTACAAAACATTGATCATGATTGGGAAGTTAACAAATGATTTGGAGACATATAAGAGCAAAATGTGTTCACTCATGCAACCAATCAAATACAAATGCTCTCTTAAGTGTGAGCTTTAACTACCACTGAGATTACTGTTAGTAAACTTTGACTTTTAACTGTGATTAGTTTGAAAATATTTTGTCAGCTGTGTTAACAGGTCAAAATTGATATAAGTTAGGATCTTGATCTGATTAAGAACCTAATTGAATCTTAATAAATATCTAAGCTTGATCAAACTTCATGCTCAGTAGTGGGGTTGTCCAGGTCTGACCTTAAATATATAGTTGCCATGAACAGTAGTTACAAAGATATTTTCAGAGTGTGTGCTGTATTTGTTAAATCTGATATAATGATTTGCTTGCCAAGGGGTTAAAATGTATAAATTGATGGCGAGATAGTTGTTAAAATTTTACAGTTTAAGCACAATTAAGTGATAAATGATAGCCTTAATCCATTTTATTGACTGATATTTCTATAGCTACTTGTAGTATGTCTAGGTTATTTTAACTAAGAAATTTATCAAGATTCTAGACAGATTCTTAACATCGTCATTATTTGCTTCTTGAGTAAAATACTGCTAAATCTATTTTCAATTACCTCAATTTACTGTCCTCTACCAATAGAAATCTATCTTAATAAAATAGTATTGTTAACACTGTCTTTTTTCACGATCTATTACTGATAATTAATGGATTCAATTGAACTATAAATCAACCATCAATAACAAGTTTTACCATTAAAAACTAGCAACTCTCAGTCCAATGAGTAACTAGTTCTACCATTCAAAGCTAGTGGATCTCAAACCACAGAAGAACTAGTTCTACCATTAAAAACTAATGGATCTCAAACCATCTGGTAACTAGTTCTACCAATGAAAACTAATGAATCTGGAACCACTGGGTAACTAGTTCTACCTTTAAAAACTAGTGGATCTCAAAACGACTGGTAACTAGTTTTACTATTGAAAACTAGTGGATTTCAATTCATCTGGTAACACGTTCTATCATAAAAAACAAGTGAATCTTAAACCATTTTAACTAGAAGATTTAAACACATGGTGTAACTAGTTCTACCATCAATTACTAGTGGATATCAAACCATTAGGTAAATACATGTAGTTCTATCATTAAAAACTAGTGGATCTCAAACCATAGGGCAACTATTTCTACCAATGTAAACTAGTGGATCTCAAACCATAGGGCAACTAGTTCTACCAATGTAAACTAGTGGAAACGAGTGGATCTCAAACCATAGGCCAGTTAGTTCTACCAATGTAAACTAGTGGATCTCAAACCATAGGGCAGCTAGTTTTATCATTAAAAAGTTGACAATTTTTAAATGAACGGTTTTAGAGAGTTATTGCCCTTGACTTAGTAAACATGGGTCAAAATTTGTTTGTGAACACAATAGATACTACAGTTTTTATCCGATTTTGAAAATATTTGTTTGTGAATATGATAAAGACTACAGTTTTCATTCAATTTTAATGCAATTCGGTATTATCATTTATAATGATGAGATCTTGATCAAGTTTAAAGTTGTCGATATTTTGATGAATGTTTTTTTAGTTCCTTTGATTTAGTAAAACGCGTCAAAATTTGTTAGTGAACACTAAAGAAAATACTGTTTTCATCTGAATTTTAATGAAATTTGATGTGATTATTTATATGGATGAGGTCATGGCTGAGTTCGAATTTAAAGATTTTTTGAGTTATTACCCTTGATGTAGGAAATATGCTTCAGAATTTGTTTGTGAAAAGGAGTATTTTTCTGACTTTAATTACACACTAAATCAAAATTGTGGTTTGTGAACGCTAAAGGGGCGACAGATAGATTTTCAGTACAATTTGACAGATTGACAACCGCTCTTGATAAATTTATCAGGGAAATGGGTGTGTCTTGTTATGCAGCCACTACTTTAATTATTATAGAAGGCTTGATTTATTCTTTGAACATGATCTGAATGACTTAATGTGTTGAAATTATTTCAATAACACAAAATAAACCTATTTTTATCTGGAAAGTGACAATGCCGTTCCAGAGCCCTCCATGATAATGTTTTGTGATTTCATTATGTTCAGTGAAACTTGTTGAATAAATAATTACCAAGTCCATTAATATTGGACAAGGTTCATTACCATAGTTTTATTACAACACAATCCTCATTGATAAAGATGAATTTGAAATTAATGCAGTCATTTGTTAGAAAAATAAAAGACAGATGGGTTCTCTCCCTTAATAATGTTTGTTCACTTCTGTATCAAAATTCAAATTCCTTTGTTTTCTTAACGAGAATCTGAAAATTTAACATTTTGTGATTAATGGAGGATGGCACCTAATTTCAATTTATTTTCAAATTTATAAATATCTGAGGTGACTCATGTTTCCGTTTAAGGCTGAAAACAAGATTTTGTCGTCTGAATGAATGTCTGCTATTGTTTTGAGAAAATAATTGTGAATCAGTAATGAAGTTTTTATGTGAAATGATTTTGAAAAGAGACTGTTTGTAAATGGAAACTGGGTTTTAATGTCAGAGTAATAAAGCGTGAAATTTATCAACTTTGTCCTCAAACGATCCTTACCAGGGGCTTAATTTCCTCTTCATTAGTATGCATGTGATGTTACTGTGGTTACAGTATCGTTAGTGGAGATATTCATTAAGTCCTATTATCATTTTTCATTAAGCAGGAAATCTGTCAACACTTTCAGGAAAATAGTAAATTTTCTCTAATATTCAATCAAAGAGTATTTTAAACCAATCATATCAACAGTATTATAAATATTGACAAAACAGTAACAATTCTAATAGCGAGAATTTAGTAATTAGTGGCAAATTATATTACCAAAATTGAAATGATCTTTTTCTGGAAATCAACAAATGAATTATACAACAATTTTCAAAATTAAAAACTAAAAATAAATCGTATTCATAGAAATAATTATTGAACAAATTTCGCGCCAAAAGATGGGTAAAATTTAATGGGTGAAAAATTTGATTTTTTTTAGATTTTCCTTAATGTATTTGTGATTTTTTCTGTATATCCTTGCTCCAAAGGATGGAAAACTTCCAGAATTATTAAAGAAATAATACTAAAACTATTATAAATTTTCTTAAAACTTGAAATGCATGCATACAATTTATAACTTCATCTCTGTGATGCTGCTAGGCATGTATAATGAACAAAACCTCAAAATTGTTGTATATTTCAGTAGTGACAATAAGCCTATTAAAGATACTGAATACAACCCAATGAAGTCGAAATATCACCCTATTAAAGATGCTTGTTGGAGACATGGAGAAAAGTAAGTTTGTTTTATGTAGGGGGATAACATTCAAGATGTTTGCTTAGTATAAAGTTTGATTTCCAATTTATCATCAAATGCCAACTAGCTGTAACAGTTACTGAATTTTCCTTTCCTAATATCCTCAGCCATGATTGACCAAAGTAGCATTAGGGAAAATCCATCATACAATAGGTGATGTAGCTACTGTCTGACTAATGAAATTGATGTGAAGTTATGTGCTTGTTTGAGTATTCGAGTATATTATTCAGTTTTGGTATGATTAAATAATTTCTTCATATTTCTCTTCAGAGTGCCATATCTTGCCCTGTCTAAGACTTTTGAAATGATAGAAAGTACATCAGCAAGGTAAAATTTGTTTTTATATGCCCACATTATAAAGTGTAATAAATAATAGTCTTCTGTGATTGGCTATTGCTGCCTGCTTTTTATACGCCCACACGTAAGATGGGCGTATATTGTAATCACCCCGTCGGTCCGTCCATCCGTTCACATTTGGCTCGTGCTCACTCTACAGGCTACAGTTCTTTATGGATTCTTTTGATTTTTATTTTGTATGTCAATGTTGTTATGAAGATGATCCCTATTGATTTTCGTGATGATCGGATAATTTTTCACCGAAATATCGTGTCTGACTTGAGGTTTTTCTCTATTAGCTATATTGTGCAACTCATGCTCACTCTACAGGCTACAATTTTTTACATTCTTAGATTCTTTTGATTTTTATTTTGTGTGTCAATGTCATTATGAAGATTATCCCTATTGATTTTCGTGATGATCGGATAATTTTTCACCGAAATATCGTGTCTGACTTGACGTTTTTCTCTATTAGCTATATTGTGCAACTCGTGCTCACTCTACAGGCTACAATTTTTTACAGATTCTTTTGATTTTTATTTTGTGTGTCAATGTCATTATGAAGATGATCCCTATCGATTTTTGTGATGATCGGATAATTTTTCACCAAAATATCCTGTCTGACTTGAAATTTTACTCTATTAGCTATATTGTGCAACTTGTGCTCACTCTACAAGCTACAATTCTTTACATTCTTAGATTCTTTTGATTTTTATTTTGTGTGTCAATGTCATTATGAAGATGGTAAATATGTCGAATTTCATAATACTTACAATCAAAGCTATCTGTGGGCGTATGTTACCTTGCCTGGCAAGCTATATTTATTTTTGGAATCACCATCATCGCTTGTGAAGACAATAAAGAGTACAATTTTCATCCGATTCAAATGAAATTGGGTATGATCATTTATAATGATAGCATTTATAATGATGAGATCTTAGTCAAGTTTGAATTTGACAATTTTTCAATGGAAGGAATTTGAGTTATTGCCCTTGACTTGGCAAAAACGCATCAAAATTTGTCGATAGAGATGAAGTTTATGTCAGAATTTTATTAAATTTTGTGTGTTTGATTAAATCAACAATATCTTGCACAAATTAGATTTTTGGTATGATCTGACACAGATAGGTGACCGTCCTTGATATACTAAAATATATCAGGAAAGTGGGCGTATCTTGCTAGGCAACCACTTGTTCTTTCTTCAATTATAATGATTACTCATTACCTATTATATATTGCTCCTAATGAAAATCAATTTCAAAAATTGCATTTAAGACTAGTGTAAGTTCAGATTATCTTGTATAAAGTGAATATTCAACTAATAGAAACTAACTTTGTTAGGTATTGGAAACAGACAACTAATCATTTTGTACTGTAAGAATTAGTTCCCTTTGCTGTAACATTTCTCAAGACTTGATACATCTGGACATCAGTTTACAAAACATATATATTTTCCATTGGTCTATAAGAAAGTTGCAAAAAAATGAATGTTGTGGTTCTTTACAATATTTTGGTGCTCTCAGTCGCTCATTTTTTTAAACCCAATAGAAACGTCATGATGTCCATTTTCAGTTTTCCAATATACAACAGTGTGTTTATAAAATCAGTAATAAACTCTACATTCTATGTTACTCTCTTTCAGGTTAAAGATGATTGAAATATTATCTAATTTTCTGCGTTCAGTTATTATATTAAGTCCCAATGATTTATTATGCTGTGTATATTTGTGTTTAAATAAACTAGCACCAGCGTATGAAGGTTTAGAATTAGGAATAGGGGATACTATATTATTACGAGCTATTGCTCAAACCACAGGTAAAACTTCATTATCTTTTCTAATGTGAGAGAATAATTATAAAACAAAACTGCCGTGCTTGGAATTCTGAAACTTGAAGCCCTGACCATTATGCTGCGAAATGTGATTTTCATTATACTTTCTATCAAACAAAAACCAAATATTCAGACTTGTTATATCTCTACTTGAAAACAATTACGAGGATCTGAACACTAGATTATATATATGTTATATTTTAGGTCGAAGTATGGATCAACTTAAAACATCATTACATGAAAAAGGTGATTTAGGTTTAGTGGCAGAGGTAAGATATTTTGCTCAATATGAATGAATCTAAATATTATATCTAACTGATGTTTGATTCAATCTATATGAATAAATTGTGAATGAGGAACTTCTGTATATATTGATGAAATTGAGTAAATTGGAATAAGGCTATGGATTTGCGACATAGAAAATTGTAGAATGTTTTGAGATAGAATTGGATTGGTAATTGAAATTCTTATGTGTATTCCAGAAGCACTTTTTGTATCTTGGGCTGTTGTACACAGTTTGGCAAGATTTGAAACGTTAACTGTGAATGTGAAACTATGTCATGGTATAGACTGCTGGGGTAAAATCTATAAAACATTATATTTAAGAAATCTTTGTGCTATAATATTGTGTTTTAATTTTCAATATTTAGAGCAGTAGAAGTACTCAGAAGACAATGTTTCAACCAGCTAAATTAACTGTTAGTGGTGTATTTAGTAAATTAAAAGATATCGCTAACTTGACAGGAAATGCTGTAAGTACTTCATCATCTATTAAACTTGTATCAATTAATGAATTTGTTCTGCAGTCAATAAAATGTAGCACGGAGAACCGGGTGATTGATTTTATGTCTAAAAACTAAAAATTGAAATGAATAGCTTAAACTGAGCTCTTTCCTCTATAGTGGAATTTGATATGAATTTTTACGAGATAATTTGAGGGTTAATTTGCCTTAAAACCCCTTTAACAAACTGTTCTCTTTATTGTAGTCTCAATCAAAAAAAGGAGACAAGATTAAACAGTTATTTGTGGCGTGTAGACAGTCTGAAGCCAGGTTTATTATTCGTTCACTATCTGGTAAATTAAGAATTGGTTTAGCTGAACTATCAGTATTAGCTGCTTTAGGTAATGCTGTCTATCTTTCACCACCATGTCAAGGTAAGTCTTGTTTTAATGTTTTTTTAGATTGACTTGTAGATTAATTATTAAATGATGTTTATAGAGGGTTTATCTACCTTGGTCATACATCTTAAATCTGGTGCTACAAGTAAATTAGGGAGCTGTTGTTGCCCATCAAATTGTTCGCTAACCGGAAGGTCCAGGGTTAAATTTTAGACAATACCTTTGAAATTTTAATCTGGTTTGCCCTACTAATTCAGGATGGAGAGGCTGACATGAAAAAAGTGTACAGTTGTTCTGAAAAGATATAAACCATGGCCCTGTGTGCTGCAGGTTGTGCATGTTAAAAAACCTCAACAGTTGGTAATTGAAAAAGAGTAGGCTTATGCTGCTGTTCTTATAAATTTTCACCCATTGCCCACTGAATGGCAAATTCATACCTACTGTCAATGTTGGGTCACTTTTTAAAAGGAGAAAGATGTTTAAGACATGGGTTTTGATATACTAATGAATTTGTTTTAACAGAATATCCACCAGAGATAATTGATTCTAGTAAAGGTTTATCAGCTGAGGTAGCTAAAAAGAAAATGGAACAATGTGGATTGATAATTAAAACAGCTTATTGGTAAAGAGTTTTATATAAGTGATATAATATTACTGTTATCTATCATATTGTATGTTTGTATGAATTTGGAAAATATGAATGTTTATGGTAAATTTAATATCATTTATCTGGCTTGACTGGCTCCGTTTAGGAATGTTGTATCTAAGATATTTTCAGTCCTATCAGGAATCTTTCAATGCCAGATTATCATGAAATAATGCTAACTGATAGGGTATAATTTTGATTGTAACATGAGGTTGAATTTGACCTTGTATCTCTGTTTCCCATGTTACATTGGTGTGATCAGGATATTGTCATTTAATCTATCTATTGACTATTTCAGTGAACTTCCAAGTTATGATGCCATTATACCAGTATTATTAAAAGAGGGTGTAGAAGAATTACCTAATAAATGTAAACTGACACCAGGTAACTATCTTAGTTAATGAGGTTTAGTTTGTCTAACTGAACCTGACACACACATTGGTTATCAAAATAATCAAGTACTAGTTTCTTTTAAAGTTTTTCAATCCTAGCAATGGTTTACATAATATTTGTCTAAATTTGCTGACTATTTCCTCATCTCTGATAAATGGAAATGATTTTCAGTCTTCCCTTAAAGTTATGCTTTTATTATGTAAAAATATTTTGACAACTTACTTTTTAGGTATACCATTAAAACCTATGTTAGCTCATCCTACTAAAGGTATAGTAGAAGTTTTAAGGAGATTTGAAAATATGGAGTTTACTTGTGAATATAAGTATGATGGTGAAAGAGCACAGGTAAGTAGATATATTATTATTTATGTTTTCTAAGCTGATGTTGGCTCAGTAAGTTCATTTTATGCTTGATCCAGCATAGGTTGTGATGATATCTTTGAGTTTCCCTGTTGACGTTGCTGTTGCAGGCACTGACAGACAATAGTTTCTTGTCATTTGCAGTGGACAAAGGACTGTGGACTCGAGTCCTAAAGTCTGTTTAAGTTAAAGATCCGTCTTCAAAAAAGACTTGCTTCAATCCTGGCAATTTTCCATCATTGACCACTGCATAGTGTTTCATTAACTCAATCTGGAACAAAACAGAACAGAACAAATATCCATTTCAAACTTAACATCGACACTGAAATGTATGTATGGGTGATTTCGTAGCTCAAGACCTGTAAAGAACAGAAAGTTTTAATATTTCAATGTACATGTATTTATATTAAATGATAGTTATTGTTCTATTTTAACAGATACATATAAAAGATGATGGTAAAATTTGTATATATAGTAGAAATTCTGAAGATAATACCAGTAAATATCCTGATATTATTAGCCGTATGCCTAATATATTGAATGATGATGTTAAATCTTGTGTCATTGATTCAGAAGCTGTCGCTTGGGATGCCGTTAATAAACAAATTCAACCATTCCAAGTTCTTAGTCATAGGAAGAGAAAGGTAAGTACTTGGATGAATATTCTTATGACCTTACAGCTCACTGACCTGTATTTATAAAGATTCTAACATAAGTCAGTTTGTTCACAAATGTTATTCATATTTTTGTACAAATATTGGCAACTTCAAATTTTGCTGGTTTATGCGTCTGAGTGTTTGTTGATAAGGCAGACTATGTAGAGTTAATTTGGCTTTTTGACAGTTGTGCACTTCATATTGTAACTCCTCTTTGCAAACAAAACTTCAGTAATTACTCACAAGCTACAAACACAGTATTATTATTTTCCAGGATGCTGATATAAAAGATATTAAAGTACAAGTATGTGTATATGCATTTGATTTATTATATTTAAATGGTGAATCTCTAGTACAACAACCATTTAGACGGCGTCGAGAATTATTACGCTCTTCATTTAAAGAAACAGAAGGAGAATTTGTGTTTGCTACCTCTATTATTGCCTCCAATACTGAAGCTATTGAAGAGTTCTTAGATGAATCTATCAAAGGTTGGTCTATATAAAAATAGAGTTTCATTTTTGTAAACTGGTTTAATTTAGAGGTTATGTTATAGTTACTTACATGGTTTGTAAAGAGGTTTTCTAGAAGGTTTATGTGTAAAGGTGACATTGTTAGCATCAATTAACATCTCTAATTTTCAACCAGGCGGCAGTAGTTCTTGCAATTCCACTTAAGCTATCCTTTTTATGACATCACTATCATGAAGGTCCTTATACTCCTGTTTTAATGAATTTATATATGAAATCTCAAGGCTTGCCAATGTTATTTAGAATACAGGAATTGAAATCTACAAAAACATCAAAAAATTTATTTTAAATCAATCTCTAATATGGTTTTATTGAAATTTATTAATGGTATGAATAGCAGTAACCTTAATTTTGACAACAACTTGGATTCTAGGTAATTGTGAAGGTTTAATGGTAAAAACATTAGATGTTGATGCTACCTATGAAATAGCTAAAAGATCTCATAATTGGTTAAAGGTTAGTATTCAATTAAATCATTAAACTTAAACATTAAATAAATATAATTGATGTCATTAAATTCTCCAAAATATTAAAGAAACTTGAAAAATTATTTGGATAAATACGTGTTGGGTTTACTTATTGTGATTAAATATATTGTTATGAAATATTTTGTTATTAAATATATTGTTATTGAATATATTTTTTATTTCTGAAATAAATGAAAGATTGAATCTGTCTGATATTCTACAGGTAAAGAAGGATTATTTAGAAGGTGTAGGAGATACATTAGATGTGGTTGTTATTGGAGGATATAAAGGAACTGGTAAAAGAACAGGTCGTTATGGAGGTTATCTATTGGCTATTTATGACCCTGATAATGAAGAATTTCAGAGTATTTGTAAGGTATGGTCTTAATCTTAAAATCAAACATATTGTGAGGATTTCCTGAAGACACTATCTAACCATTAATGTGGATTCTGTTTTATCTTAGATATTCAATTTCATGAGACAAATAAGGACCATTAAAAGTATTAATATTTATATAGACCTACATGATGTGATTGATATCTGTATAAAATGTGTTAACTCATGTTTTTCATTAGTTTAAAAACTTGGTGACAATGTGTTTTATAACTGTTTCAAAAGACATAAATATTAAAACTATTTGACTTATAAGAAAATAAAGTGCTAATAAGCAGCTGTTGATAGATATCTGTATATTAATTGATATTATTTTTTTTTTAAACAAAATGTCGGTTATTTTTAACTGGTAAAAATAAAAACAAATTTAAAGTTTTCTCACAAATCACCATGTTTATATAATTCAGATTGGAACAGGATTAAAAGATGAAGATTTAGAAGCTCATACAAAGTTTTTTAAAGAACATACAATGGAGAAACCTAAGCCTTATTATAGATATGATAATTCTCATCAACCAGATGAATGGTTTGATGCTGTACAAGTCTGGGAAATTAAGGCTGCAGATCTATCAATATCTCCAGCACATAGAGCTGCAGCTGGTCTCGTTGATCCTGAGAAAGGCATCTCTTTGAGGTTTCCTAGATTTTTAAGAATAAGAGATGACAAAAAACCAGAAGAAGCTACCAGTGCCTCGCAAGTAAATACCTCTTTTATATTGTCAAGATATTTTACATAGACAGTTAATGGGGGATCAGCTTAAGTGGCAATTCACAGCATTTTATCAGATCCATTAGCAGCAGACTCAGGTCAAATTAATCCAACAATTGATCTGAGTCTCTAAGGTGTAATAAGTTAGTAGGAATGGTTGACAATTCTGTTGATCTAAGATTCAACAAAAGCCAGGTTTAGAAAATCAAAGAAATGTTGATTGTTGGCAAAAACCAAATACAAGAAGAAAAGAATGAGTCTAACCATTTGTAAACAAGTATT